AAATTTGACTGTTGCAGCCTTATTTAATTTTTCCTTTGGGATCTAGGGTCCAATCAAAGGTCATACATTGCATTTGGTCATGATGTCTTTGATCACTAATTTTTGTTTTGCATGATACTGACTTTTTGAAGAGTCATTAAAAAACTTCTTCCAGTGATGTATGGGTTTGTTAGCTCCACGATAGTAAGAGCTAAATATATAGCCATTATAGTAAAACAGCGTCTTGTACTTCTTTTCCCTTGGGATTGAGATACTTTTAGTGCTTGGCTTCCAAAGTTAACATACTAAGATGTGGGTTTTGCTTGAAATTGCAAATGTGGAAAAATCTCTGTGAAGAGCAAGGCAGATGAGAATTCACAGGATGCATTTTATGTAATTAAAGGCACAGTCCTTCTCCCTTGCTCCAGTGGGTACCCTTGCTAGATCTTGGCTGAGTGGCTCTTCCTTCTGGCTTTTCTCCTGCCCCAGGGCCTGGCTCTGCTCCAGCATCATTAGGTTGTAGCAAGAAGCTGGAAACAGACCTGCAGTTATTTAAATCTTCTAGCCCAAATTGTTTGGGCTGGCTGGCAGCACAGAGCTTTTGTGTTTGCAGCCTCTGTGCTGGACATAGCATGGTGTTCAAGGGCGGGTGTGTGCATCTGTGATGCACATAGGAGGAGCACCTTGTTGAGAATCTGGGGAGCCCATTCATGCACCTATTGGGGGACTATGTGCTGGTCACAGGTCTTGTCCTTTATTGTGATGTCAAATGATTCCTAGAGAGCATCAACATTCAGCCTTTGCTTTCCTCTGGGGAGAAAGCACTCAGAGCTTAAAGGCCAATCAAAGGATACTTGCACTCCCTAGTGAAGACTCACCTGGATCTGTACTAGTCACTCTTTGGTTTGGAGTTGCCTCATTGAGTAGTTAAAGGATTTATTTACTGTTCCTGAATGGTGGAATGTTAAGTGAGCAGCGCACCCATTTTTGGATGTGGTATCCTCAAGATTGTTCAAGGCTAGAGCCAGTGGAACATTTGAGAGTCATGAAGCCATGCAAGTAAGAGGGTGCACATATATGTGTTTGTGTGCTGGTGGGAGGCAGGGAGGAGGAACATCACTGAGAAAGAGAAAAGACAAGAAAAAAAGAACTAAGATGGAAATGTCAGGAAGGCTGAATTAGGAATAAGGTACCTGGAAACTTGGAGAGGCGGGAAAAGGAATTGCCGCTTTTCAGACTTAGATTTTTAACATCTGGGGAAACTTTTTTTTTCTTGCTGCGTGGAGTTAATTGGGGGTTGGATTTAGTAGTGGCGTGACTGGTATGGTACATAACCCCCCTGTGCCTCAGCTACTCCTGTAGAAAATGGAGACAACAGTGGCTGCTGTGTATGGCTGTTTTGAAAATAAATGAAATAATCCATGTACATCCTCAGAACAGACCAGGTAGATAGATGGTAAATGCCTGAAGAATGTAAGCTACAAATATTTAGTTTATATTATTAAGTGCCCCATGTAATTTGCCACAATGATCTGATATCTAAAAACTTCACCAATCTTTAACCTGTTTTCTTAAGAATAATAAGTAAATTTTTTTAAAGCCTTTTCAGAAAGAATTTACCAGCCGGGCATGATGGCTCATGCCTGTAATCCCAGCACTTTGCAGTGCCAAGACCATCAGATAACTTGAGGTTGAGACCAGCCTGGCCAACATGGTGAAACTTCATCTCTAGTGAAAATACAGAAATTAGCCAGGCATGGTGGTACACGCCTGTGGTCCCAGCTTCTTGGGTGGCTGAGGCAGGAGAATCGCTTGAACTCAGGAGGTGGAATCTGAAGTGAGCCGAGATTGTAACACTGCACTCCAGCCTGGGTGACAGAGTGAAACTCCATCTCAAAAAAAAAAAAAAAAAAAAAAAAAAAAGAAAAAAGAATTAACCAGCGAGCTCTGATTCTCATATTGACAAAATACTTTCCCAGTTTTCAGCAATACTTTATTATACCAATTTTTGTCTTTGTATGTGCTCATAAATATGCCAATAATAATAAAGTAGGTGACTTTTATTTCTTCTTCTTTTTCTGCCATTTTACTAACCAATCATTTACATGTAAACATACCAAAGGAACATCCACAGATACTTTTTCCACTGGCAATAAGAAAAGCAAAATTCCAGGGAGAAGATTTTTCTGTCTCTGGAAAATGATGTGGCCCAAACTGGAAGTCTCAGTACTAAGTAAAGCCAAGCCTGGAAACAAGTAAGAGCAGTGTGGTTGGCATAGCTAAAATCACTGAGAAATCGATATGTCTGTGTGATAACAAAGTTAACTAGAAAAGGGATTGAAAACAATTTTATTTCAAATAACTGAAATATTGGGACAAAATACATTTTTTGGAAGGAAAGATGTTATCTTTAAATTCAGTAACAGGGTGATCAATGCAATACTAGAAAATCTGAGTCCTTTAAAAGAGTCTCAGTATCACCACTTTTTTCATTCCTTGCTTTCCCTTTCTTTTCTACCTAGGACAGGGTTAATCAATGAAACATATGTGGCCGAGAGAGCAGAAAACTGTAAAACTCAGGGGATGGGAGGGAACTCATACATTTGATAATTTAAAAATGTGGAAAGTAACTGAAGGAGAAGTTGCCGAGGGTGTAGGTGACTCCAGACTTGCTCTGACCAGCTGGCTCACTGTCAGCCTCCAAGAGGTCTTGTGAAGGATGGTATCTCTTGGCTACTATAAAGGAACAAGGCTTTACACAGAAAGGAAAATCCTGGGATGAAGGCAACCTCACTGGAGGAAGAGAAGGTTATCGTAACTCCTCATTGGTCTCCCTTTCTGTCACCTTGTTCCCCCCTTTTTTTTTTTTTGAGGTGGAGTCTCACTGTGTGGCCCAGGCTGGAGTGCAGTGGTGTGATCTCAGCTCACTGCAACCTCCGCCTTCTGGATTCAAGCAATTCTCCTGCCTCAGCCTCCCGAGTAACTGGGACTACAGGCGCATGCCACTGTGCCTGGCTAATGTTTCGTATTTTTAGTAGAGATGGGGTTTCACCATGTTAGACAGGATGGTCTTGATCTCCTGACCTTGTGATCCACCTGACTCAGCCTCCCAAAGTGTTGGGATTATAGGCGTGAGCCACCGCGCCTGGCCTTGTTCCTCTTTAATACTTCCTTCACACTATCTACCTCCCCCCAACCCCACCCACAACAATCTCATTTCACCATGGATCTGGGCTTTCACTTCTCAGATACAGCCCCTCTATGACATTCTGCAACTTGCCTTCCATGGCCTTCAAGGCCTCTGTGATCAGCCTCTCCCTGCATACCTTCATCTTTCTTTGGTGCTGGCTCAGATTTTATGCTTGAGTTCCTCACATAAGCCATGTTGTTTTATACCTCTATCTTTTGGGGAATGTGTGATCTTGGACAATTTGCTTCATCTGTGCTTTAGGTCACTCCTCTGTGAAAATCATTTATAAAGTTATATAGGAATTAAATAAGCCAATAAATGTAAAGTTCTTGGAATAATGCATGGTGAATAATAAGGACCATAGAAATGTTTGCAACTTATTGCTATTGCTCTTGTTATTTTGAGCCTGGATGTATTACATTTTTATTACTGTGTAAACCTAATATCTTTAATAGCCATTGGTTATCCCTCATTTTCTGAATGTCAGAAATCTGGACATGGTGTGACTGAGTTTTTAGCTCAAGGTCTCACAGGACTGAAATCAAAGTGTTAGTGTGGGCTCAGATCCTATCTGAACATCTTCCAAGCTTCTTCCAAGCTCAGGTGGTTAACAGAATTCATCTCCTTGCAGCTATAGAATTCATGGCCAGCATGAATTCTGACCTCACCTTCTTCTAAGAGCTTCCCTGATTAGGTCAGGCCCAATCAGATAATCTTTCTTTTGATTAATTCCAAGTCAACTTGCTAGTTACATATCACAGAGTGATATCCCATCATATTCACAGATTTCGCTTGCACTCAAGGAGAGGTGTGTACATTGGGGGCAAGATTCTTGAGGGTTATCTTAGAACCCTGCCTACAAACTGGGTAACTGGGAAATATCTTTTCTGTTCACTAAGTTGAATTGCATGTGGGTGAATATATGCTTCTGTAATCACCACCATCATTTCAGATTTTTGTAGCATCTTTCTCACAGCATTTAGATGGATTCACATCACTCTGGCTTCTGGAGCTGACATTCCCTATCCTGTAGTTTTCACTAGCTGATGGGGTCAGTTAGCACCTTCAGAAGTCTTTTAGGAAGAGGACAATTAGAGACTTGTAACTGATAAACCTCTTGACTGACATCCTGGAGTTCCAAAAGGATGACCCACAATTTGCAATCCCTTTCAGAACCATGTGTCTGTTGCTAATGACTTAAATAGAAGAAGACAGACCCCTCCTTAATTGTCAATGTTGCCTGCCAATTCAAAGTAAGTTTGTTTCTGCTAGAGAAAATTTCACTTTCTTGACAGTCTTTTGCATTATTATTTTAAAAGCCTTCCCTGTCCTTTTTTCTCATTTCAATTAAGTCTAGATTTTTTTTGCATTTAACTCAGTTTATAGTCCACAAAGAGGTATTAACACCATAAAGGATGTAAAATACATAAAGAATACATTTTAGAAGATCAATTAAGAAGAAAACCTTGCTGAAGATGAAAAACCCTTTTTTAAAAAAAAAAATTTCAGTCAGATTCTAGGCAACTAGATGTGGACAAGGAAGCAATAGGGAATACGTGTTTTTTTTTTTTTTTTTTTTTTTTAGGTAGTATATTTTTTTTCAATGTGTCAAGCCAAAGGGAAAAAATGAATCTGGCGTGGCCTTCGGTTTGGAAGTTTGAAGTGCCTGTTTATCTGGCATTTCCTAACAAAGTATGATTTGTTAATGCAAGCCATGATTTAGACCTCACCGCTGCCTTGGTGACTGGTTTCCCTACAGCACCTTGGGAAGGACTGGTTCATAAAGATAATCTAAGGTAATATCGACTTGGATTTCTTTTCTTCCTTCTAGGACAATATTATCTTATTCTTGAGAGGTTGTAAAGAGCTCGGCCTAAAAGAATCTCAACTTTTTGACCCGAGTGACCTCCAGGATACATCCAACAGAGTAACAGTCAAGTAAGTAAAGCATGATTTATGTTTACGGGAAACTCCTTTAGAGTTTGATTTGCAATTTTGTGATGATGTTGTAAGTTCTAAGAGACAGAGAATTGGTTATGCTTAATAAAATGAAAATGCGAAGGTAAAAGTCAACTTTCAAAACAACTCACATTGGCTTTCCCTCTGTGCAGAGCTTTCATTCTAATCAAACATAATTTTTTGAATGCAAAAATGTTGCATATAGAGTTAGAACTTTGAAGAGATGGAGAAAAATGTTAATTAAAGCTTAACAAAGAGGCAAGAAAGAAATAGACACAGAACTAGTGTGTTAGACAAAAAACTTTTATTGGCGCCAATTGAGCATTTGAATAAGCTTGGAAGGTAAACAGATCTGAGCTCTGTTATGCAAGGAAGGCATTAGATTATGGAGAACTTGCTTCATTTACATTTCTGTTTTCTCCTATGTGTCAGCGATCAAGTTCTTTGAAGATGGATCATTGGCACTTTAACTATATCTGCTTAGTGAGCCCTGTTTGGGCCAAAGAATTCTTGGAGCAGAATGTCACAGTGTAAAGAAATAGCTTGTGACCAGGGTATGAGATGGCAGAGATAACTTTCCTGTAGTTTAGAAGTTCTTTAATTCCTACTGACTTCATACAAAACATTTTCCACTTTAGTCAAATAATGTTTGACATGGATATGCCTGAATAATAAACACAGTTACACAGATAGGGTCTGTGAATTGGTAACTTTTCTTCTTTTGATTGTTTTTGGAGTCATTTCATCATGGAAGAACTGAAAAAGGAGAGTGCCAAAATTCAAAGCTATTAATTCTATACTATTTGGTTAGAAAAAAAAGGATGAGAAAAAATAGGAAAAAAAGAGAACTACTGGATAAAATAAAGTTTGGGGTTTATATTGAATTTTATGATTCATGCCTGGGAATACTGGGGAGTCAGTGGTGATCTATTATGTAAAATTACTTTTCTGTTGTCAATGTGCCATTCTTGAATACTTCTCATGGAAAAATTTTAGCTAAGTGAAAAAAATAGCAGAATAAAAATTAGAATATTTGAATATGGAAACCACTGTAAACCTCATCTTGGTCATCACATGCCCATTTATTATTGTACCTAGATCTAGCCTCTGTAAACCATTGTTCCCTTTAGGAAATCGTTTTAGGTTCTGCCTCATCTCCCATTCGTAGTTTCACCTGGTGTCAAGTGACCAGAAGCAACAGTAACTGTGCAGCTTTGTAGGTGATAATTAGTCACACACACATTGCTTGGAGGGTGAAGGAAAGGTCACTTCAACAGTGTCTGCAGCTGCATTTATTTTGTTTTTTAGGGCCATTTTAAATCAATGTTACTAAACCAGGAGAATTCTGAGCCTGGTTGGTTTTAAAAATTTAGAACTCATATCACCTTTATTGTTTATCTACAAAAAACTGGGCATCAGGAAAATTGGGATCTAGCCCTAGGTCTGCTGCTCACTAGATCTGAAGCCCTGGTTAAGCTCCCTTCTTCAGCAGGCCACAGGTATTCATCTAAAAGTTGAAACTGGACAGAGTATTCCATCTGGTATGATTCTAGATAAAACTTGCTCAGTGCAGTTAAGGGAAGATGGAACAAGCGACTTGTAAAGAAAGAGACTTTAAATCAAGACTTGGAAAGAAACCTAAAGGCAAAAAAGTCACATAGGCAAGTGACATATGGGCACAGTCCCTTCTTAGTTACTGTATCATCTTTTTGTTTTCCTGTCCTTTTGATTTTTCCTTTTCTGTTTCCTTTTCTACCTTCTGCCTTCCCTCCCTTTTAAATCCTGCCTTTCCATCCATCTCTCCTTTTGTCTGTCTTCTCCTCATTTTCGTAATTTTTCCTTCACTGAGCACTCTTACTTTTTCTTTTCCTTTCTTTTTTTTTTTGAAATGGAGTCTCACTCTGTAGCCCAGGCTGGAGTGCAGTGGCACAGTCTTGGCTTACTGCAACTTCCGCCTCCTGGATCCCGGTTCAAGCAATTCTCCCGCTTCAACCTCCCAAGTAGCTGGGATTATAGGCACGAAACACCATGCCCAGCTAATTTTTGCATTTTTTTAGTAGAGATGGGGTTTCACCATGTTGGCCAGACTGGTCTTGAATTCCTGACCTTGTGATCTGCCCGCCTTGGCCTCCCAAAGTGCTAGGATTACAGGCATGAGCCACCACGCCCCACCTCTTATTTTCTTTAGGCAATACTTTTTCTTCACATTCCCCCATGACCCTGGCAGTTTTCATTCATTCATTCATTCATGTACTCACTCATTCATTCAGCAAATGATTGCTGAGCAGCTTCTCTGTGTTAGATACTTTTTTTCATCACTAGAGAAGTAGAATGAACTCAGATAGCCAAGGTCTTCTGCTCATGTGAAGTTTACAGTCCAGTGTCAAGAAATGAGAAGCAAAGAAGTAAACAAAGAAGATCATTGCAGAAAGTGATAAGTGCTGAGAAGAAAATAAATAGAGTGATAAGCGAAAGACAGTGGCCAGTCCAGAGGTGGAAAGGGTGGCCTCTCTGAAGTGCTAGCATTTTGGCTGAGCGCTAGGTGCTGAGACATGAATCGGAAGGAAGAACAGGCTGTGGGAAGATCTATGGGGCATTCAGGACAGAGAAAGAGCAGGTACAAAGGCTGGGGAAGAGGAACAACAAGCTTCATGTTTAAAAGAAGGAAAAGTAACTGGTGCGGTTGAAGGATAATGTGTAAGGACATGTGTGGTGGGCATGGCAGTACACAAATAGGGTAGGAGGTTGAACTCAGAATCATTACGGAGAAAAAATACTTCACTGTATGAATATTTCAAAGAACATAAAGAATTTATCTTAAATGATGCTATACATTTACAGTACTTAGAAACTTGTTTCTAGTTTTAGTAAAGAGTAGAGTATGGAATAAACTATCGGATTTCATGTAGTTTTAATAAGTGATGCTGGTTTACTTTGGCCCCATGCAGGGAGTGTTGGTAACATATGCAAATTTTGTAAACTAAGGTAGTTAAAGTAGAACAGCTGTATTTCTTTGTTGTCCCTCTGAGAGTTGAGCAGGACATCCATAAACACAGAGTACCTCATTGCCACCAATTATTAGCAGAAGCAGTAAGGTATAGATCCCACAGAGGAGATTTGGATGGTTTTCTGAAATTTTGTTTTAGAAAATACTCCTTCATTTAGCTTTCATGGTAGGTAGTTTTTCTTGTGTGCGTGTGGGGTGTGTGTGTGTGTGTGTGTGGTGGTGGTGGTTTTTTTTTTGAGAAGTAACTTGAGTAGACCAAAAAAAAAGAGCAAAAGCCTGCAAGTGATTACTGCATGTGTAATTTAGTGAACTCTACCTGTAATGGATGCCAGACAGCCTTGATGGGAATTGAAAGTGTAATCTAGACAGGCACACAGCAAGTATCATTCCAGGGAATCAAAGCAACTGGATGAAAACGTACACAGGCTCTGGATTGCTCCTGAGAGTGACTGTAAAAATTTGGAAGTATTTCCACATAGCTGATTGCTAGGTTGGAGTCATTCAACAAATATTTTGTGAGCTTCTACTATGTACCAGGTGTAATTTTTAGCACTGGGTCAAAGTCTTAGTGAACTTTTATCATCAATGCAAAAAAAGTTTTGTGTTCCCTATTTTAAATATGTTTTCCATGAAAGTTTCAAATATTCTATAGGTTTTTACAAATCTGGTTTCTTTCTTAAATTAAAAAACAAACAAACAAAATCCTAGCAGATAAGGACATCTCATTTTTTTTTCTGATTAAAAACAGAAACATGAAAACATTTTCTTAATCCAATGCAAACTGGACTAATGCTTCTTTGAATCTAAGTCCTTGTTGATGGGTTTATTTCCATGGCATACTACCTTGTTTTCTATTTCTTCACATTTCAGTGGACTTAAAATTGTTCGCTTTAGGTCAGAATATGCTGCAATGATGTAATCAGAGTCTAAATACTTTAAGGAATTCTTGACTGGGTTATACCATTGGCTTACTCTCCCTCCCTATCACTGAAGTTACTGTGAAAAAAAGAAATGCAGAGTCTGTTTTTTTCTGGTGTTTATTTGTTGACATGTTAAAAAAAACTTGGAAATAAGTTTGCAGGAACTCTTTATATTTCATTGTATGAATATTTCAAAGTAACTTTCTTGTTTATAGTTAGAGAGTAGACACGGGTGGATATTTGAGCATGCATGTGTGTATATTTGAACATAACAAGCATATTTTCCTGCTTGTGGCTTACTCTCAGTGCTAATTTATATCCAGAGCAGAAAAGAACAAATATTTGGGTAGGATTTCTTCTTGTACACATATTTTCAGACCTGTGTTAAAAATACTTGCACGAAGATTTTGGAGGTGCAGTCAGATTTCAGTTTGACAGTGGTCTCAAATCAAGGCAGAATCTTCAATGGTTAATCTTTTGAGAACACAACTATGAACATTCCTGGTTTGAATCGGACTTCTTCAGTTTCCAGATGTTATAAAGCATCATCTTGTCATAGTGTACTATGGAACTTTAATCCCACCTATATTGTCCTTCTACATTTTGTTTTCTAAGTAATTTTATTCAGTGCCCAAAATAACGAAACTTAAGCCTTAAAAAATAATACATTCTTCTGATTTCATTATATATGTTAGCTTCAAGAACATCTTAGTGGTGTTTAAGGAAAGATCACAATATAGAATCTGCTGTTCTGACAATATTTCCTTTTCCCTTTCTTTGACTAGGAGCCTTGATTATAGTAGGAAGCTGAAAAATGTAAGTGTTGTAACTTCCAAACTTGTATCTTTGGTGGTTCAAGTGTAAAATTTAGCTAAATTCAATGCTTCTCATATGTCTTGCTGATAAAAGTCCTTAGAAAAAAGTGTATGTGTATTTGATAGAATAATTAATGACCATGATAGAAATAAAGATAGTAAATTGTGTATGCGTTGGGCTAGAGTGGTGGTGGTTCTCTTTATTTAGGTAAGTGTTCAATCCAGAAATAAACAAGTGAAAGCTTTTGCTCTGTTTCTGATTCAGTTTCTTAAATACAAAATGATCAGGCTCAACACTTACATTAGCCCCTTTCCATTTGTAGGCACAGATGGGATTATTAAATTAAGCAGTTGGGCAAGTTGTTGTAGGGTAAGATCAGCATGATATGAACAGTGTTGACTACCACGGGCCTATACTCTGTATTTTGTTCTCCTAATCTTTTGCACTCTTATTAGTACTTGCCAAAATCAACTTTTTGTAGATCTTATTTTCAAAAGGCAAGTATGTTAGTGCTGTTTTATTTTCAGTTTAGATTGAGGAATGAAAGAAGTGACCATGTGCATCTAAAATTTTAAAATTGGATGAAACTTCTTTTAAAAAAATTTCCCCAGATGCTCTTACATTCGATTAACATTTTTATTCTTACCTTCTTTTACCTTCTCTGTAAAACTAGAGGTATATGGCATTTTTCATCATAAAATTTTAAACAAATCAGAAAACCTTTAACCTAAAATACAACACAGTCTATTTTCCATTCTCCCATTATATCTTTTAAGATAAGCTTATACTCTTAGCACACATTAGGTCCTAGTTAATGTCCTGACATTTGGAATCTCTGGAAATGTATTTGTAAGCAGTCAGTTTAAAAAGATGTTCTGGAAGTTTCGAGGAATTCATGAAGTAAAATTTTCTCACAGAGGTAGAAAACAGAATCACCTCTTAGCATCAATGCACATAACTGTATTTTGGGTCTGTTGCCAGCTGGACTCATGTAACTGTATCATGTTGTCCAAAGCATTTTCTGGCTACCAAGCAGGAGTCACAATAAATACTTCCCAGCCTGGCTGAGGCAATAAGACAGAATGTGAAAAGAAAATACTCATCTTAGCTTTTACACAGGCCTCAGATCCATGTAATTCAGTTTGAGAGAGCTCATCTTCAGCTGACTCCTGCTGGGTTTCATGGGAAGTGAATGTAAAGAGGATTTGCTTTTGTGGATGCAGAACAAAATTAACCTGGGACCATAGCTTCAGACCACTGAATATTCATAGACATTCTTAACTATCCAAGGTTGTTTAATTGGTAGCTAGCTTGTCAAGGCTCAAAATTTCCCATCTCAGATTAATGGGACTCTAACTATACCCCAAAGCTAGGTATCTGTGGATCATATTTTTCATGACATTGCTTTCTTTCCACTTTAATTAGATACATTGTGTTGATCCTGTGCTGGGAACCACTAATTAACCTTCATCACTTGTTTGGGATTTTTTTTTTTTTTTTTTTTGCCATTGGCTTTAGCAGAACCTCTGTGCCCACAAGTAGAAATTATGAGCCTTCAAAGCACCTTTCTCAAAAGGAATTGACAGTCTCTTTCATTGCTTCTCTGGGTAAAGATCCCAAAGCATTTCTGAAAAATGTTGCTGCCTAATTGTGAAACCTTCACTACATAAAAATAATGTTGGCGGATTTATTTTTCCTTCTTGTTGTCTTAGAGATAATTTCCTCACAGACTAACTTTCCCTAACACTGGAATTGTTTTAACTACTGAACCATGTTTGTATTGACTGACATGGCATTGGGTTCTTATTAAAATGATTTTACATTTAATGGATACCTCATGGGTGGTGGTTTTTTAAAATCAGTGTAAATCAGGTCTTTCCTTCCTGCCTTCCTGTTAGTGGAGCATTATTGACTCCCTAGTTTAAATGTCATTCTTGAGGGAAAAATCTGCTCTCGTGTGTTTTGGTCCATAGGTATTAGTTACCATTTACTGGCTGGGAAAAGCAGCAAACAGCTGCACATCCTACAGCGGAACGACACTAAACCTGAAGGAGTTTGAAGGATTGTTGGCTCAGATGCGAAAGGTAACGGCTTTTCTTCTTTATCCCATCAGCATTCGACAAGGTGGGAAAGCCACATGTTTGCTTGTTTTGTTTTTGTTTTAATACTTGAAGTTCTGGGATACATGTGCAGATCATGCACATTCGCTTGTTTTTAAGATTACTAGAGTACTGGGTTGTGGAATGGTATGGGCCAAAGATATGCACTCAAGGAAACTTATCTTACCAATGACGTCTTAGCCTCATGCATCTCACGCCTACCTGAACTTTCATACCCTTCAGAGAACTGGAGTTCTGAACTCCATCCAACTTTTAATTTTGAAAGAGCAAATTCAGTCTGTCAGTATATGCCTTCGTATGCCAAGGAGCTCAGTGCTTGTTTTCTTGGGGAAATAATGCTTGAATTAAACACTGCGGTATTATGCACAAATGAAGACTTGCTCTGCGCTTTTGTCCTAAAGGGCATTTTGCTCACCCACTGGGGCCTTGGTGTGCATTAGGGAACTTGAGCCAAGTTCTTACCTTGACATACACCCTGGACAAGCTGGGATACGTTAAAAGCATTCTTCTCTAACATGCACATGTCATGGCCACTGTTTTTGAATGACATAGAAATTTGGAAAACATTTTATTAAGCGCTTAATTTGTTTCTTTGAGTATAGAAACGACTGACCTAAGGTAGGGATTTGTCAAGGAAATAGTCGGATGTTTCATGTGTACTTGCCTGAATATTTCATCTGAAGGTCCGTCAGTATACAAAATTCATACAAATGACTAGTACATAGTATTACCCAGGAGAGGCCCTCCTAACCTGCCTTAGTGAACAGGTAAGGGTTATTTGTAATCAGCCTCCATGCATTTTTTTGTTTTGTTTTTTGAGATGGAGTCTTGCTGTGTCACCCAGGCTGAAGTGCAGTGGCGCAATCTCAGCTCACTGCAATGTCTGCCTCCCAGGTTTAAGTGATTCTCCTGCCTCAGCCTCCCAAGTAGCTGGAATTACAAGTGGCCACCACCATGCCTGGCTAATTTATGTAGTTTTAGTGGAGACAGAATTTCATCCATGTTGGTCAGGATGGTCTTGAACTCCTAGATCTGCCCACCTTGGCCTCCCAAAATGCTGGGATTACAAGTGTTAGCCACCGTACCTGGCCTCTCCACGCATTTTGGATAAGGTTCACATTAGAGGATAAATAATTGAGGCCTTACTCTTCCTCATTTCTCTAGCATAAAAATAAATGAACTAATGAGACTTCATTGAGAAACATTCAGTTCCTTGAAATTTTTCTTTTAACACTGAAAGCAAGAATTGGTTCCAATTTTCTAAACATTTATTTTCCTTTCCTTAAAGCTAATGGTTCTGATAGTTCACATTTGGCTAAGGCCAGTCTGGCTCACACATTTATAAATGGACAAAGCTTTCATATTAGAAGTAATGCACATACACAAAGTACTTTAAGCTAAATTCCTTTAAAAATAAAATAAACACACACAATGAAGCACAACTCATTGCTTCTCAGTCTCACCTCTTATTTGCTCTTTAATTTCTCATTTAACATTCATCTGGATTTGAGAAGTCTAAATGTTTATTGTTTTTATATTAAATTTGAACTTGAATAATAATAGATGGGTCATCGAGTTCTGCCTCACAGTTCCCCCGCTAGATTTTGTTAGAATCTAATTTATTCTCATTATTGACATTTCTTACTGCTAGTCCAGCATCTGTAGAATCTGAGCAGCTACTGGTTTCTGCAACTCTCTTAGCTTTTCTTTCTACAATCAGTTTCTTCAACTGCCATAAAACAACCTATTATTAACAGCTTTAGCCTTTTTGTTGAATGTAGATAACATCGCAGGACATGATGGAGCAGGTAGTATCCCTGGACAAAGCACGACTCTCAGCAAAAATGGCCAGGCATGATACTGCCATACCGCCATCTAGAGAGAAAATGACTTGAACCTCACTGGTCTATTCAAGGCACCTGGAAATACTAATTTTATCTGTAATATATATAATCTCATTTTCTCAGTTATAATCGGGTTCAGCTGGGAAATGAAAAGCCTCAAAATAACAGATAAGATAAAAATTCTGTTTCTAATTCACATAAACAAGATGTGAACATGAGTAGCCCAGGGCTGATGTGGGCTTCCATGTCTTTTCAACAGCAGAAGGCCCAAACTTCTTGGTCTTTTTGCACCGACATCCTCAACCCATGCCTCTACACCTGCTGATCCAAGATGGCTGTTCAGGCTTTAGCCATCACGTTCGGATTCAGCTAAGAGAAAGGAGGATTGGCAGGGAGGAGGTTCCATGCCCTCCCTTTAAACACACCTCTGGAAAATTACACACTACACATATACTTCCATCTACAGACTTGTACTTGGTTATGTACCCATACCTAGCTGCAAGCAAGGACTTGGGAAAAGTAGACTTTATTTCAGCTAAAATCTGTAGGCATGTTTACTAGGAAAGCAGATATTAAGGGATAACTGTAATCTCTTCTGCACATAGGCAGGCTGAAATAAATTGGAAATCAGATTTTTTTTATTTCGCAAAGGAGATTATCCACAAGTTTTTATATTCATTTTTCTAGTGGGTGAAATGGGCATAAAAATGAGTCACTAGGGTGCAGCCTGTTAAGTTCTGTAGTAAAGGTGACCCAGGCAAAGCCTAGACATAAAGTATGGCATGTCATAGATTGCTGCTGTTGCTGGATTTTTTTAAAAGGGTCTCCAAAATCATAGTAATAGTGTCCTTTCACTGAGATCAGATATGTCAAAGAGTCCTTCCACAGGAAGGGGCACGTCAGCAGAACAAAGAGGATTTACTACAAGAATATTAAGATTGAAGGGACACCCATGGGGACTAGGGTGGCTCTTGAGATCTCAGAATCTTTCTCTCATCTCTTCTTATCTCTCCTTAAACTCATTCCTTCCTCATATAGGCAAACATTCCCTTATAACAGGGAACATGGCCAATATCATCCCCAGGATTACTTGTTTCTAGCTCCTTGCCCAGAAAACCAAGGGAATTCTTACCCCTGGCCCCAGGTGTAAAATTCCTAGTAATGTACCCTGGCCCAGTGTGGACCTTATTCCTGAAGCAGTCACTGTGATCAGAGGGAAGTGATACCATGACTGGCACAGCCTATTCCTGTTTCGGGGGTGAGGGGCATTACAGGAAGAAAGGGAAAGATGGAGGGAGCATGGTAAGCAAACAGATGCAAGACTTCTGCCTTAAAGAGCAACCATCTCAACTTCTAGTCCCTCAACACACCTTATTTTTTTTCATGATACTTATTATCCAACTTTGTATTCATTTGTGTTTTTCTGTTTATGTTTTGTCTTCTCTCCTGGAACTTAAGGACCATGAGGACAGGGTATTTGTTGATTTTTGTGGAATGTTGTGGACTAGAACAGTGCCTGTCACACAGAAGCTGTTCAGTAAACATTTGTGGAATGAACAGCTTCCACAACCAGAGGGTGATGGGTGGAAAGTGGCTGAGCAGGCTGGAAAAGTAGAAACCTAAAGCCCTCTAGAGCCAATTAAGCCACCTTACAAATCACAAATGGATCAGAAAATGGTCAGTGGTAAAAGAGAGGTATCTGGAGTGTCTCAGAAACTGTGAAGTCATCCACCAATCCTAGCTGGTTCTTGCTATGTCCGAGAAAGGGGGATGGGAAGAAGAAGAAGAGTAAAATAATCCCAAAATTTTATGAAGCTGATAGTTCTCACTTCTTCATTAACATACTGTTACTAGAGTAACTCAGTAGCAGTTAGCACGAGAGACTGAGCTTCTAGATGAAAAGCAGAGACTGTTAATTAGAGCCCAAGAAAGGAGAATGTAGATGTGCTAGTTTCCATGTCAGATTATATCTTCTACTCACCCTCAGAAGTTTCGCTTTAAGTGACCAAAAAAATGAGATCTGCTGACTTGATGGCAACCAAAGGATTGTCCATCCAACTGATAGCCACATTTTTATTTCTGGCTGCAGAGCCAGCCTCTCACTTCACCCTGAGCTTCCTAGGGAATGAGCTTGGCCAAGGACAGTCACTGGTGGCCTGGTTTTTACTTTTCAAACTGGCCATGCCATTCAGCTCCCAGCTCTTGCACTTGGTCCAGGGTTTGATTCTTGGCCTTCTACACAGCCACGAACATAGCAGCCTTTCTGTTTTTCCTTCCCATAACTAGCTGTGAGAAAGCAGCTAACGCTCCAAGAGGCATGTTGACTTTTTCCTTTCTTATCCTGTGGTTTGTCGGGTGAGGGTGGAGAAGATATGTGGGGAGCCTTTCTGATATTATTTTCGTGAAAGCCCAGTTGTGTAATGCTGTGCCAAGGAGCTTGTAGTTGTGTAATTTCCAGATGTGACCGGCGGTCTGGCTCCCTGAGAGTCTGCCTTTCCTGATGGGAAATTAGGCTTAAGACATCTAGATATGGGATAGAAATGAAGAAAGAGATAGAGGAGTATCAGAATGTGTGTAAAGTTATGTCCCTAGCTATATTTATAAATGTCTTACGATTTGTATATATTGAAATTTACCTATTTGAGTGAATAAATTGTAGTAATTACAACTATAGCTGATACTTTTAGAGTACTTGTTCTGTAATAGGCATTTTTCTGAACACTTTCTGTATATGAACCCATTTAATCCTTCCAGCAACTCTGTGAGATAGGCACAATCATTAGCCCCATTTTATGGATGAGAAAACTGAGGTCTGGAGAAATGGAATAACTTGCCTAAGGTCACACAGCTGGGAAGGGGTGGAGCCAGTATTTAAACCCAGCCATTGGGATTCAGAGATCATTCTCTTAACCATTACGCTAAATCCCCTCTCCTTTGCACTAATCGTGCTCCATATAACAATGTTTCAGTTAATAGTGGACAGCATATATGAGAGTGGTCCTAGAAAATTATAATGCAGGTTGAGTATCCCTAATCTGAAAATCTGAAATCTGAAATGTTCCAAAATCCAAAACTTTGGAGCAAAGATGTGACTCTGAAAGGAAGTGCTCACTGGAATGTTTGATTTTGGATTTTCAGATTTGGGATGATGCTGACCTGTATATTGCAGATATTTCCAAATCTAAATAAGTCAGAAATCCTGAACACTTTTGGTCCCAAGCATTTGGAGAATGGAGAGACTCCATCTGTAGCACATTTTTACTGTATCTTTTCTATGTTTAGGTATGTGATGCACAAATACTTAGCATTGTGTTGCGATTACCTACAGTATTCAGTACAGTCACTTGCTGTACAGGTTTGAAGCACAGGAACAATAGGCTGTACAAACAGCCTAGGTGTGTAGTAGGATCTGGCATCTAGGTTTGTGTGAGTACACACTATGATGTTTGCACAACAGTGAAATCACCTAATGATGTATCCCTGTCATTCACCAACACATAACTGTATTTATAGTTTTGTGATCTAGGCATAACAGCATTCAGCTGAGGAACATAATTGAGGTTAGTATCAGCTACAGAATAAGGGGGTCGTAAGTGTCTAATAGTGGATGAGAAGATGCTGATGATGGAACTGTAACTATACAAAAGATGATCAAATATTTTCAGGTATACCATTTGGGATTTGGAGACAGAGTTCTGGGTTGGAATCACAGCTTTGCCGCTAACTGTGTGACCTCAGTCAAGTTACTTAACCTCTCTGATTCTTATTTTTCTCTTCTGTAAAATAGGGATAATGCTAACCACATTGTAGGACGCGTGGTTGTGAGGATTAAATAACATATCATGCAGAAAGCATCAAGTATAGCCACAGACACATAATAAGTGTTCAATAAAAGTGACCTTTGTGTTTTCACTATTTGGCCGATTCTCAGCTGGTAAATAACCCAAGATAATTACTTGCATTTCCAAAGATATTGAATATGAAACCATATCCAATTTGGGTCTATAATTTTCAGTGAGTCATGAGTTCTTCCTTTTCCAGCTAGTCAGGCCTGGCTTTTGTTCATGTCCTGGTTAACTTTTGACCTATAAGTAAGCTACCTTAATTTCCATAACTGGAATTTCTGCCTTCCTCTGGAAGGTCATTCCACCTCTACTCACCCAGGCCATTTGACAACCTATTTTTCAGGGGTATTAATCAATCCTCTGTCTGGAGGCTGCAGAGTGCTCCTCTCAGTCCTGCTCTTGTCCTCTTGCCTACTTCCTTCTCTTGATGCAAAGCTGTGTATGTCTTGCAAATTACAGCCACTCTGTCCCCGGTAAAGGGCCTCCTGCTGCAGAGTATGTCAGAAGCTCTGGATATAATTGATAGAAGCAGCAAGCAAAGGCACTTCCTGCAAAGGCACTGGCTCCCATGGGCATCCTAGACAGTTTAGACCAATTTCCAAAACTGCTAACATGAAGAATATTTATTTTTACTTTATGTTGGGAATGTGGAGGGGACTTTCATGAGCATCCCAGGAAATCTAGTGTGGCATTCCAGTCTTTGCCAATGAGAACATGCCTCTCTGCCAGTGTTGTGCACAGTCCCTAATTTTAAGTGACAGTCCAGAGGATATTAAATTGAGGTTTATCTTTGAGTGACCGGAGTTATTTTTGTTTTAGTCAGCCTGGACTATTGTAATTAATGCTAAGACACTGGCGGGAACAAGGCTTTTATTATAATACGAGGGTGAGGATGGCTTTGACTGACCTTTCTTCTGCTGGAGTTTCAGTGTTTTAGTATGTGCTGCTTGTGCTGGAAAGAATTTATAATCACAGGCTGTCAAAGACAGCCATTGTTCTCCCTGCTCTGAACATGTGGGTCAGCCACAAGTGCTTTCAGCTCCCCCAGCGCCAAGAGCTGGCCTAGAGCGAGAGCATGCCTGGATTCTTCTGAGGCATCAGGAAAAGCGTTTTGCATATTTTTCATTGCCTTTTTTTTTTTTTTTTAACTTTTTGCCTCAGAAAGGCAGCTCCTTTTCAGAGCAGGAATTTCCCTTCAAGGTAGCAGGAGATGAATGCGTGCTGCTCCAGGATTTTACAGAACTGATTCTGCTGCAGAAACAAATGCTGCCTGCATTTGCCAGACAGCATAAACAGGAGCAAAAAGTGCACAGCTAAACCAGGGGCTCACTCCCAGGACAGACATGCAGTCATGGGTTCCGAAAGACAAGTCAAGGTTAAGGTTTTGGCCTTTTTTTTGTTTCTGTTTTGAACTATCATTGTACTGTTGTGAATCCAAACTTTATAATCCTTTTTTCTAATTCTTTCTCTACTCTTTTTTTTTTTAAACCTTAGGGAGTATGAGTTATTTGGGAATTTCTTTTCTGAAATGTTGTGCATGATTTTCTGATTGGGAAAGTTGCAGCAGAGGAGGCTTGAGGAACAGAGTGATGACTTTTCGATGGTGATTGATCCTATAACTGGTTACCACAATCTTTCCATGCTGATGTGATATGCAGGGCTTTATTTTTTGGAGACCCCCCCGGAGACCCATGTCCCTGATACTGTAGGCTAGAATGCAGTAATGCCTGTAACCTTTTCATTTTCTTTTTGGACAGGAGACTGATGACATTGAGAGTCCTAAACGCAGTATCCGAGACAGTGGCTACATCGACTGCTGGGATTCTGAGCGCAGCGACTCGCTCTCTCCTCCTCGCCACGGCAGAGATGATTCCTTCGACAGCCTAGATTCCTTTGGCTCTCGTTCTCGGCAGACGCCTTCACCAGATGTAGTCCTCAGGGGAAGCAGTGATGGTAGGTTGGAGTCTTAATAATCTATCCATCTTGGAATTAAACATTTGCAGGGCTGCACTGTGGCTGGCAGAGGGATGGGAAAGCAGACTCCATATCCACCTTGCTGGAACCTAGTAATTCTATAAACTGGCAGGAAAAAAGTCTTTGAATGTTGTTTTTCATGGTCCTTAGAATTTTGGTTGGCTTTGCCAGGAGTTTATTTGAGCACTGCCTCAGTGAGCATATCTTCTATTGGAAAATGTGTTACATCATTCCTCCCTTGGTCTCAGTGAATCAAGACACTGTGCAGACCATTAGCTCATAAAGTGTGCTGGAGGTTTATGTACTCTGGGCATGAGGAAAGGAAATGTTTGAGTGAGTACCAACTATATAAGTGAAAATGGATCAACTTCCAGTAAACTGGAAATGAGCTGCACACACTTAGGAAAGTTCTGAAGCCTGGGATTGTGCAACTTTAATTGGCATGGTTTTTGGCAATCTGTTTGATGCTTATGATACCTGACTGGTATATCTCGCATGATGCAGGTGGCCGTTAACGTATAGTGCACAAGCCAGGCTGCCTCCTCGTGCTGAAGCTGGGATTGATTTAAACGCTATGGGTTTTATATCGCTTGGAAGAGATGATCATTTTTCTTTACAAGAAATGTGTAATCATGTAACTCGATATACATGTAATGCCTATTTTTCAGAAGCTGTTTGTCTTACTTATCTTGTACCTTTGTACTTTTAGCAGGAAAAATGGTTTGGTTCTACATATTCTACATATATAAACTTGTGGAAAACATGAGGGCTGGTGGGAATTTTTAAAGTGTTTCTTTTTTTTTTAATGTATTGCTTGTTGATGCTACTATATCTAGCTATTATATCTTAAGCCTACTCTGAGATCAGAATTATCTTTTGTAGCTAAAAGATCCCTTCCAACTATAAAATTCTGTTACTAAAATACTTGACTATTTAATGTGTCCAGGATCTAAGTTAATTCCTTGGCACACAGTGTCTCATTTAGTCGTCAGCTGAGATCTTAGAGATGCTCACTCAGTGTCTCATTCAGCACGCCCACAGAGTTGTGAGGCACTACTTATCCTTGCTTTACAGATGAGCCTTTGAGGAGTTAAGTAATCATCTCAATATTTACAAGTTACAAAAAAATCACTGTCAGAAAGTAGCATAACAGTGTTAGCTTCAAGAAGTGTGAATGCAAAATCTATGCTCTTAAGCTTAGTTTACCCACACTTCTTTCTCTTTGCCTAATAGATATTTTATTCTGGAATGACTGAACTAATGCTTTTGTTTCGGACTTAAACTTTCCAACAAATAGTTTAGCCTTGGGCCACATAGTATGTGACTCCTGAAGAATTCCAGGGTGCATTGTGAGCCTTTTGCAAAGCATTTCTAAAATGTTATATGACATCTTAAGCGTCCCCCACACTGTTAGAAGTTAAATACCAGGTTCACGATCTAAGTGAGCTTTATCATAACCAAAGAGTAGATTTACTTTTCCAAAACATACCTTAACCAAACGATTTTCATGCATATTATTTTGATTAGTTGTTTTAAGTTATTGCATTTTCTTCATCCTGTTTTTTTCTTAACTGCCAATGTAGATCTTTTATTTATTGTTACCAGCTTTAGGGGGTTTAATGTTTAAACAAATCACATCTTGAAGAGATTTGAGGTGGTGATTAATAATATTATACTAATATGTGCTGAACACAATTTGGTTTGCAGCAATTAAAATTGGTAAGCTAGAGTGTTTTTATGAATGTTTTCTCCATCCAAAGAAAACTCATGAAATTAGAGCTTCACAAAACACCATCCATAGAAGAGCTTCTTACTCACAGATTTCACCAGTCAACCCAATACCTTAAGGCTTAGGTTCTTGTAAACTAATCAAGACCTAATGAGATTTGAAAAACAACACATTTATTAATCTGCTGTTTAAAATGTGGTATAATTTTAGCCAAATAGATGTTGGGTTTCATAAGAGTTTATATTATGTTTTTTAAAATGACGCTAATTAAGAAGATTGCTAGTCCTAATAAACACTTCCAAATTTGAAAAAAAAAGAAACTTGTTTTTTAAGTCTTGAGAATTTATATCCTAGGACTCACAGTCAGTTAGGGAATGTCTGTCTTATGAAATTCTTCAACTCTATATTGGGCTAATATAGAGATCTTTCATTTTATTATTATCTATTTCTACTAATCCATTCAATAAAGACAATCAGGAGCCATACTCATGAGAGGCATCATGATTCTGTGAGTTGGACACAGAGCTACCTGCTATGATGCTATAGATCCCCAGGATTGATTCAACCAATCTGTCTTGCTAGACAGATGCCCAGTTTCTCCCCCACCATTAATAGCATCTCTTATGAGTTCACTTAATGGGCTTCATTGAAGAGGAAATAACAAAACCCTCCACCCAGATGTTTTTAGAATTAAGAACATATTTTGTAAATATGATGCATGAGGTTAAATGAACAGTCTAATGTTTTGTATAAAAGACATGCTGAGGGAGAGAAACAATGAGATAAATCAAAGTGCTAGAGGAAGATTAAAAAGCGAACAGTTGGGGTGTGTATGGCAAAGATATGTTAAAGAAAGACCTTCAGTTACTGAGAGAGAAATGTAGCCTCATGAAAAGGAAGAATCAGACTTTGATAAAAAAGAATATCATCAACACATGCTAGATTCCATTTTCCTAACTCTGGACATAAATGGAGAAGCTACCCTAGTAAATTTCCATGTTCACAGGGAGAGGTGAAGTCAAAATTTTTGAGGTGCCAGCCTTAAATAAGAAGACTCTGACATTTATCAAGGGTATACTGGGCCGGTCACTTCCTAGGTGCTTTCTGTCATCTCATTTAATCCTTGTGACAACATGTAATACCTATATTATCACCTTCATGTATCCCCTGAGGACCCTGAAGTATAGAAGGTTTAAGTTTCCCAGGGCCACACAGCTGGTAGGTGGTAGAGCTGAAATTTTAGACCCTGGTCTCTAAATCCATAAACCTATACTTCTTTCAACTGAGCTACTCTGTCCTGGAGCATTCGCAAGGCTAGCATTTCTAGAAGTGTCTAAGACATTCACCAAAGAATAAGTGAGGGAAAAGTAATTTGCTTATGTTGTTAGACAACATATTTGGAGACCTTCACTCAGTATATTATAGATAATATATATAGATATCTATCTATGTATGTGTGTGTATAGATAATATACAAATAAGGGTCATAGATTATAGAATTTTAGAATTGAGGGACCTGAGGCAAATCTAATCCATCACTAAGCTTTCATAGTTGATTGAAGAATCCTTTGTTTTATTTGTTCAACAAAGCGCAGCACTTCTCACAGGACACTTTTATCAGAGGACATTTTCCCAAGACAGGTGTGTCACAGAGGAAAGAACTTTGGGAGTCAAGAGAACAGAAAGTAGAATTTCAGAGCTGTCACTAAGCAGCCTGCAGAAGGGGTTCCTACAGTCTCACTGAGCCTCTGTTCCTACCTTTATAAAATGAGGATAGTATCAAATGGGGAAACAAATGTAAGAGTTTAGCAAGGTAAGGTAGTGTTAGTATTTGTTTATGAAGCAATTCACGGGGGACACTAAACATTTCACTGTGATACTGAGACAGATAAACTTGTTTAAAGACAGGGTCGAAAGGAGTTAAATTATGAATCAAATACTGTACTGATAAGTAATGAAATGGTCAAAACTTCAGAAGGAAGACTGAACGCATGTGGCATGAATAATTCATAAACTGAATACTTCATCTGCAACAATGAACAACTTGTTTACGGTCAATGCTTTTAAGTTTTACAGTCTTTTAAAAACCATTATATCATTTAACCTCAGGGCAAATTGTTTTATTTCTATTTTACAGAAAAGGACAGTCAAGTATGTTAGAGACAACCCTAGGAGCCCACAGCTCCTTTCTGCCAGATCCAGAATTATTATGACATAAAAAGTAGCCAGTATTTGTTAAGCACTTAGTCTAACCCAAGCACTGCACCAATAGTTTTATATGTATCTGGTCCTTCCAACAGCTGTGAGGTAGGGGTATTATTATCCTCATTTTATAAATTGGGAAACTGAGGCTTAAAGTACTGATGTAACATGCAAATGAGCAGAAGACCAAAGGAAGTGGTTCTGGCTTAACACTTAACCAACCCCTCTACCAGGCTGCCACATCTCTTGGCTCTTAGTGTAAGGCTCTAATTTTTTTTTTCTTTTTTTTTTGAGACAGAGTCTCGCTCTGTTGCCCAGGCTGGAGTGCAGTGGCGCAATCTCGGCTCACTGCAACCTCCGCCTCCAAGGTTCAAGCAATTCTCCTTCCTCAGCTTCCTGAATAGCTGGGATTACCAGTCTGTGCTACCACGCCTGGCTAATTTTTGTATTTTTAGTAGATATGAGGTTTCACCATGTTGGCCAGGATGGTCTCAAATTCTTGACCTCAAGTGATCTGCCCACCTCGGCCTATCTAAGTGTCAGGATTACAGACATGAATCCTGGCCAAGGCTCTTTTCTTAAGTCTAAAGAGGTATACATTTCATTTATCACCAACATAGTTGAATGATCTTGTAATGCTCTCATTGATTAATTGTTTTCAACCAGCATTGAAATGGCGGCTACTTATACAGTAGTTTTGTTGGAATGTTGACTTCATTCCAAGAGATCCTAGAAATCTAATAAGATAGGACTCAAGAAACAAGAATACAATATAATTATTGGGTCTATTGTCCAACAAATGGCTGATGTTGGGAACATTGAATTCCCATGTGTTGTCTAAAACACTCTCTAAGCCAAACCAACTCATTTATTCATCAGATAATCTAAGGATGTCCACTGTGTACAAAGGCAATGGCATGAAAACTATAAAAACTATAAAGCTCTTATTCTCAAAGGACAAGCTAGAAAGTAGAATACACCAGAGGAAAAGACAAGATCATGGGGGCATAGGGTTCACAGGAAGAACAGATTACCTCCAGCTGTGGGAACCAGGAAGAGCTCCCAAGCAGAGGAACAACCTGAACCACTTCCCGGAAGGCAAACCCTTGGTGTAATCCAGCTCAATCATGTTTCTGAATTCTTGTTGTTCTTGGCTTCTTGATTATTACTTAAATTCTCTAGGTATGTTATGGGTTGGTTAAAGATGCCTCAAAGTCAAAATGTCTCATAATTTTTATTTGCCGGAGTATCTGGCATAGTGTAAGACATGCAGCAGGTGCTCAGTGAAAACTTCATTGATTAATTTCTGTTTTCTTCTTTTGAGAGTAGCAGAATCTCAGTAGGCATATAATCCTATTGAAGGTGTGTTGCTAATTGTAGTTCTCAGATACAGTTAGGCTTATGTCTGTATTTTTAAATTTTGCCCTTGTTGGGTTTTTTTCCTGATTTTTTTCCCTTCTTTTCCCAGAGTAGAGTAATCTACATGGATTCTTTTGATTTGTTAACTTAATGATTTAAGAAGGAATCCTCAGAACCCACAGATTGAACCACATCCCTAATGCGTACTTAACATTGGGAACTTTCTGCTAGCTTGACACACTTTCTCAGCACCCATCCTGTCTTTCCCAGGGAGAGGAAGTGACTCTGAATCCGACTTGCCTCATCGGAAGCTGCCAGATGTGAAGAAGGATGACATGTCAGCAAGGCGGACTTCCCATGGTGAGCCGAAGTCAGTAGTGCCTTTTAACCAGTACCTCCCGAACAAAAGCAATCAGACGGCCTATGTCCCTGCACCTCTGAGAAAGAAGAAAGTAGAGCGTGAGGAATACCGCAAGAGCTGGAGTACCGCCACCTCCCCCCTGGGTGGGGAGAGGCCCTTCAGGTAAGGCCTGAGTGCAGCTGTCCTCTTACTGGCTTGGGCATGAGTGGTTTGGAAACTGCATCTCCTGGACAGGAATGAGGTTAAATGACCAATTCAGAACTTTGGTGGAAGATTAGACAGAGGTGGGTGGGACAGATCTTTGGAGAGAGCCTGTCAGGAGAAAATAGAAGCTTGGTGAGTGTGCCTAGAACAGTGCCTGGCACACAATAGGTATTCAGCAGCTACTTGCCTAAATAAGCAGATTTCTGAAACCAATTCTGTTGATAGGACATTGAGAGCAAATCTGTCATCTGTGTCCTTCTGCAGCGACTGCTTGACTCCGAATCCTATCAGATTAGGTGTAGAAAGATTCCTATCTTTATGAAAAAAGAGGTTTTAAAAATCTAGGCTTAAATTAATCTGATATAAGCTCAAATATGTGATGCAAACACGTAATGCATGGAATGTGGTTTACAATCACATGTAGAAATTGTCATAATCAATGGATTTCTCATCTCTTTAGAGAAACAGTGGTTTCCTTAATCTCTGATTATGCTTTTGTATTTATTTATTCATTTATTCAGCAAGTACTTGTTGAACATCTACTATATACTAGGCACTGGGGACCCAATAACAAATAAGGCAGAGTTCCTGCCTTCAAGAAGCTTATAATAAAATAAACTTCTCCATTAGTCTGTCTGTATTATTACTTTCCATTGAACAAAGATTTTATTACAATTGTTAGTTTGCCGAACAAACTAATGAATTTTACGTTTGCAGCAGAAAAGGTTTTTGCCTTTGATTATCAAGTCTGGGATAACTCTCAATGTTGCGGGTATGATGCATTGTTTGAATTAACAAATGGTGCGTTGAATTTTCTTCACATTCAGGATCATATTTTGTGCTATGACTTCCTTTTCTAAAGTGAAAATCAGAATAGCGGGGAGATGACGTGGGGTGTGCTCCCCAGCCCAGTCTGTTAGTTTGGTAAACCATATTGTCCAACTCACTAGCTTTCCTGAAACGATAGAGGAAGAGGGGAGTGAAGTGGGGTCTGCTGATGAAGACGACCCAGTTGGCCAAATGAATCCTGGTTGGAAGCCTTCCCATGGTGGGTGTGAATTACCCGACGGCAGTGGTAAGGAGTACCCTTCTTCAGACGGGGCTGTGGTGGCTCCAGCTCCCAAGTCTGAAGAAAAAGATGCTGCTGAGATCCAAAAGCGCAAAAGGCTAGAGCAAGCTGGAATCAAGGTCATGCCAGCAGCACAGCGCTTTGCCAGGTCAGCTCTGGGCTAAGGGCTGGCCCGGCTGGCTTTCTGCATGCCTGGGGGTTTGGAATGTCTCTAGAGAGTTGGAGTTTTCATCTTATTTTTTCCACTTCCTGCTTTTCCTGTTGCATCGCTGTTCCCTACTCTGAGCACATAGATGATAGTCTTTGCCTTAAGGCATGTCTCTGCTAAGTATCTCCTGGGTATTTTAGATGACGGTGAAGAGTGAGCTCCTCGCTGCTTGGTGCAGACCTTGTCTTCCTCATGTATTTGTGGTCATCATTTGTGGGCTGCAGGATTTACCTAGTAATAGCATTGTATTTTTCTATTGTTTGTGGCTTGTTAATTTTCACGCTACTCCTAAATGGCTCGTATCTTACTTTACACATCACTAGAAGATAGTCTGTTTCTTTGAAATGGGGAACACTCTAGAGGATGGCTGGCTTACAAAAATCCACTTACTTTCTTTGTCTCAAGAAGGTACTAAGTAGAATTGAGTTTATTTTACTCCTTATTTTCTAAAGCATGTTGATTCAAAAACAAAGAATGGAGTAATTACTTCTCTTTAATTGTAACAAAGGTACTAGTATCCGGTACTGATAGTTTTGTATTACATGTGAGATGGAGACCTTTGTATCACATTTAAGATGGCAGCAATCAGAGCCAAGGAAAATTATAGTTCTACACTCTTCTGTAGTGTTTTGAGAAGCTAGTTAATTTTTCTTATATAATCACCACAATAATCCTAACAAATAATAGTGCAGCCAAAATGTATTTTACAAATTGACATTAATAATAATTTGACAGTTGAAATTCCTTTGCCACTTGCTGTTCCATTTAAGTCTTTTTTTTTTTTCTTGAGACAGAGTCTCACTGTGTCGCCCAAGCTGGAGTACGGTGGTGCAATCTCAGCTCACTGCAACCTCTGCCTCCCAGGTTCAAGCAGTTCTCCTGCCTCAGCCTCTTAAGTAGCAGGGATTATAGGCATGTACCACCACGGCTGGCTAATTTTTGGATTTTTAGTAGAGATGGGGTTTCACCATGTTGGTCAGGCTGGTCTAAGTGGTGGGTGATATACCCATTTTCCAGAAGTGGAAGCTGAGGATCCATGATAGTCAGTGACTTGCAAAGCTGGTCACCACCAACCTGGTGACCAGATTCGGATGCCCTGACCACAGTACCACGTCAGCCTCCTACACATTTTCCATTTCTGTGTACAATTCCACATATGGTTATTTCTGTGGACCAGGTCTTAATTAAAATATCCAGTGTTGATTTATATAAATTTAATCCTAGAGTAGCGTTGTATTAAAGAAAAATAAGAAAAAACCAAAGGATATACTTCCTCTTTGTCTGTGGTATGTTACAGATAATCATGCCTATTCTAAACACATAGGTGCTTCTGGAATATTCTAACATAAAATTGTGCTTTTGTTACAAACAGCTCCCTGAATTTATTAAATAATGAAGAGTAATGTAATAAAATCTTTTTTAAAATCCAGATATTCTTTAAGTTTTGATACAGAGACCTTTTCAGACATATTTTTTTCTACATCCCTTGAGCATCCCACTTACCGGAGACCAGACTAGATGCTGAGAAGACAAAAATAATAATGGTGAGAGGAATAATATCTCCTCACTATGTATCATTTTTCAGACTTCTCTAGCTTCTGCCTTTAAGGACACAGTAGTAGGTAATAATTTGATCTGCCTATCTTTGACACACATCTTTCGTTTATATCACATGTGTGTGTTTAAGCTAGTGTCTACCAAGGATACTGTAATCTTTAGAGTTTCTAAAACAGCAAGCAGGGACGAGGGGGAGCTGCATTAAGCTAATTCAGCACACTCAGGAATAATGGTCACGTAGAGAAGAGAAGTTGGGCAAAGACTGGGAAGTCCATACACATACTGTGCCACTTCAGTAACTGGGATGTTTATTTTATAAAAAAACTTTGAACTCTTTTGTGACAACTCACATTCACTGTACAAACATCAAATCATAGTTTAAAAATGTAATTCTGTCATGCCTGTAATCCCAGCACTTTGGGAGGCTGAGGTGGGCGGATCACAAAGTCAAGAGATCAAGACTATCCGGGCCAAAATGGTGAAACCCTGTCTCTACCAGACACACACACACACACACACACACACACACACACACACACCGGCTGGGCGTGGTGGCATGTGCCTATAATCCCAGCTACTTGGGAGGCTGAGGCAGGAGAATCGCTTGAACCCGGGAGGCATAGGTTGCAGTGAGCCAAGATCGCACCACTAAACTCTAGCCTGGTGACAGAGTGAGACTTTGTCTCAAAGAAAAAAAAAAAGTAATTCTAATGAATATATATTTCTTTATTTTACTTCCATTCATGTTTCCTGTTATCTGGCTTAATTTTAACCTATTTCATCCAAGTTAGCTCTCGTTTGCAGAAGTTTGCAGGTCAGTTAATGTCACGATGCCTCAGATCTTCTGACTTAGCATTTAAAATTGGGTTCCAGATAATTATGCATATTCTCAGAGAATGTTCCCAATAGCAACACAACACAGCTGCTCCAAACACCCAGAATTCATTTGTTAGACAGATTTTTCAGCTGCCAGCTCTCTCATAAAGGTTTTACACATAGCCTGCCACCAGCCTGGCATGTCTACATCTTTGTTACTTACTTTTTGCAAGCCGCAAGAGTTGAGTTATTCTAAGTTTATTCACATTTGGGATCCTGCTTTTAATGTGGCAGAAACTAGTTTAACTGGAATGAAGTATCATGAAGGAGAAAAGGACTCTTAGTGTCTGGAAAATAAGAATTTAAATCATTGAAATATGCTGATGTCTCTGAAGACATTTTAACCTCAGTGTTCTGTCTTTGACATCCAGATGAATTCTGGCCAGCACGTCTTTGCACCCAATAAGAGGACAACTTGTTGTGGCCCATTTCTCAGTTGGGAAATGTTTGCAGAAATGAGTGAGATAATCGAGCCCTGTCCAAGGGGAGGACCATATAGATGAACAACAAAGCTTTATTTTGTAGACTGTTTTTTGTTTGCTTGTTTCCCACGTATATTCTGAAACACCTTGCTAGGCTGGATGCGGTGGTTCACACCTGCAATCTCAGCACTTTGGGAGGCCGAGGCAGGCAGGTCACTTGAGGTAAGGAGTTCAAGACCAGCCTGACCAACATGGTGAAACCCTGTCTCTACTAAAAATACAAAAAAATCACCTGGGCCCACGCTGCATACCTGTAATCCCAGCTACTCAGGGAGGCTGAGGCACGAGAATCACTTGAACCCCCAGAGGCAGAGGTTGCAGTAAGCCAAGATTGTACTAGTGCACTCCAGCCTGGGTGACAGAGTAAGTCCCAAATTATCTTTAAGGCAGTATACAAAAGGGAGCAGAGATGCATGTTATTTCATTTTCACGTGAGGTCAAAATCCTAGAAGCCCCAAGCTTCCTGTCAAAGAATATATTAGCAGTATCTTAGCATCAGGAGACAGAAAGTAGGACTTCTTAAGAAATGTGTGGACTTTCATATTTATTAGAGTTTCCATTGAAGTGAAAACGTATATAAACTTTTTCTTCTGTTTTATTTTATGGTTGTGCTAACTTAATTATTCCCCAAATATGACACTCTGCCAAAGAAGCCAAGATTTCTGTTTTCAACAGGATAAAATAAGAACCAAGATGCACTTCCCCTGAATTAAAGTGCCATGGAGATTTGAGTTCTTTTACTTGGTGTTTCCCATTGGAGCAGTAAAAATTTTTTTTAACTGAATTATAGGTTTCACGTGATTATACTTCTTTTCTAATTGTTTTCATATGTTTCAGCACTCAGTGCTTGGTTTCTGCTAGTCTGTGGATCTTCTCAATCACATAGTAATTAATTACAGAGGGGGGGAGAAAGCGGGTAAAAAAACCTCTGAGGAACAATAGACATTTTAGAAATCTTTAGAAGAAGAGCAGATGCAGCTAAGTGCCAGATACAGATTCCTCTACAGACCTTCCTCACCAGATGCCAGTTCACCATGGCTGCTGAACAGATCCTTGGGTATCGGGGACCAGCCAAGCACATAACTTGCATGAATCTTTGTGACTCTGGGTGTATTAAACTGGTGCACAAGTAATTGTGGTTTTGCCATTTTTAAAGGCAAAAAATGCAATTACTTGTGCACCAACCAAATAGCTGCCCTGACTGGAGACGGGATGAACTGGGAGGTTTCAGGTATCCCTCAGCACATTCCCAAGGGGACTAATAGGCTTTTCTGCAGAGCCCAGTTTCCTTCAGTGGAATATCCTAGCTACCAATCTGAGCTGGTTGCTTATAGATTGCTAAGTTAAGACAGGGTGAAAGAAAATCCCAGCTCCTTCTTAGTTTAAATCATTATCTCATTCACTTTGAAATATGTAAGCCTCAGAAACGTTGAGACGAACTTTTCTTCCCCCTAACCTGCTTTGGGCCCATAGTCTCTCCTATCAAGATAGCTAGCCTGCCTTGTTTTAGGTGAGGCTGTGCAGGATCCCCAGTTGGAGGCAGGGCTTGGTTGGCATTTCTCGTTTGACATTGAACTGTGTGCCTTCCACATGAAGCAATGAGCTGTGCTCCGAAAGCAACTCCTTCCCAAAGCATCTCATCTGTGACTGACTTGGATGAAATAAAAGTCCCAAACCTTTTCATGAGTGTAAAGCCAGACAGCCTGTGCCTGCCCCTTGAGTATACTTCAGTTAATTTACGTAAGTTCAGACGGCTTGAACTAGAGACCTTAATATTCTCTTCTGCAAAGTGGGCATCATAATCTCTGTTTTGCAAGGTTTTCATAAAAGTTACTGTATCTGGAATGTACTGGCTACTCAAAGAGTTGTAGTTATTGAAAAATAAAGTAAAACAGACCCAAGTTTCATGAAAGACTGCCCTTAAGGACCTTCAAAGGAAAAAGAAGACACGTTATAAAAATCATTTAAATATTTTGGTACCTAGACACCTGTGAATACAATCCTACATGTCTACCTTATACATATTACTTATTGTTTCAAGACCATCAGTGCCAGCTCAAAACTTGTATCGTTATTTTTTGCTGTCCATGAATGAGCGGAATTAGTAGAAATTAGCTATTAGTGGAAAATCAGTCATTGTGACCATTTTTCAAGTGGATGGGAGTGTCTTCCAGTAGCCAATGGTATGGAAACTTTCTTTACCCTCTTTTTTTTTTTTTTAGTTCGCATATCTAACTTCAGATCACTTGAAATGAGTCTTGCCACACTGGGCATTTAGCCTAAAAATGAACACCGAAGGGAATGTGCAGCCTGGCTGGGCTCACAAGATGCACAAGGGACCAGATTCTTCCTGCTCAAATTGGCATCGCCAATTGGCAGGACCATTTGCATAAACATGAATATTTTATTCCAAAAAATTCTGCCCAAGTTGGGGAAGGTTGGAGCCCAGGACCATTTGGTTTGTCCAAAAGTAGAACGAGTGTTGCTCTTGGACTTCAGGGGTTCAAGTGGAAGATCTGCTTCTCTATTAGGGTATGAGAGCTGTGATTGCACCACTTCATTCCAGCCTGTACAATAGAACAAGACCCTGGCTCTTAAAAAAAAGAAAAAGAAGAGTTGGGAGGTAGAGAAACAAGGAGATAGAGAGGAAGAAAAGGTTCCTGATGGAAAGGTGCAGAGCCAGATAAGCTTCCTGGAAATGGAGGACCATAGGAATGGAATAGTTTAAGACGATGCTATGAGTGGTCTTAAACTACCCCAGGTGTTTCAGGTGAGCTCACCTCTGTGGAAAGACTTCCTTACACTTTGTAATCTGTGACACATTTTAGGTGTGTTGTCATGTAGCTGTATTCATTTGTTTTCTCCCAGATCAGTTTCTTGGTGGCTCAGTTTTTTGCCCTGTCAGTCAAAAACAAGTTAAGTGTCTACTGGGTACGAATGTACTAAAGAAAAAAGAACAGTAACAAAAAGCTTCCTACCTTTCCCCAATGTCATGCAAAGAACCTTCGCTGTCATTTTCAGAGCCATTTAGGATCCTGTCTTTCTGTTGTTGATGGAAACCCTGAAAACTAAATGAATTTTTAGTATTGCTAATGTCTGGCTAAATTCAAGGTTTTAAAGCCCACCCTAACTATGCTGCAATCTAGATTGAAATAATGAACAGATGCCATTTGAACTAACAATTTTGAGAACACTTTTTACTAACAACACAGTTGTCTCTCTTGAGATGGGAATTTAATTTTTTTTGTCTGATCACATGTGAAGTCCCATTTAATTTTCTCCGTTAGTCAAAAACAATTAAGTGAAGAGAAAGAAGCTGTTCGTGACATTGTCCTTCGCAAAGAAAACTCTTTCCTGAGCCATCAACATGGCAGCGATTCCGAGGCAGAAGGTGAAGTTGTGGGTCGATTGCCTGATCTTGAGAAGGATGACTTTGCTGCAAGGAGAGCAAGGATGAACCAAACCAAGCCAATGGTGCCATTAAATCAACTCCTCTATGGCCCTTATCCAAAGAAAGGGGCAGATAAATCAGATGGCAGCAAACAGCTCTCAAAGGGAATCTCAAATAAAAGAAGTCTAGAATATAAAAGGTGTGCATGATGTGTGTGTGTGTGTGTGTGTGTGTCTATGATAGAGAGGGAGAAAGGACATAATTAAGTGAAGGCAATTTGTATTGTACCCCCTCCAGTTCCTCTTTCCAACCCCCCAATTACATGTACTTTGTAATAGGGGTTTATTTTGAAGTGGAACTTCAGATATTCAATCTTCTCTAAATGCAGATGGCAGACAGTAGAGTGTCCATGTCCAAAATAGGGCTGAATTTGCCAAAGAATCATTGAATTTTCCAGTGTGTAGATGTGCTGAATCAGGGCTCATCACCACATATGGGTGCTGGTGTCATCAGTTGGCATTATTAGCAAAAATAGACATGTACTATTTCCTATCAGAGAACAGCCACCTCTAACAGCTGCTCCAGTCCATTCAAAGGAAGCAGAAAAACACTAAAAGCACTTCTCTCTTATTAGCTCCATTTTGATGTTGGAAGGAAAAAAAATGAGACTTGTTCTTTCTTCTCTCACACCAGCAATATCACCTAGACAAATGATAGTGGGTATTTCCCATCAAAAATACTTTTCAGACTTAAAATATACCTCTATATGTTCTGTCATAGAAATTGTTTTGAGGCGAGTTTCCTTCTGCCAAAATTTTTCCCATCCTCTTAATACATATTGGAGTGAATTGCAGAAAGGAAATTTGTAGTAAGATGGAATTTGAGCAGTGATTTTTGTCCTAAGAGGGAGCTATGGTTTCATTTAGGGTGCCCACTTGCTGAATTTCATCCTGCTGAGCTTATCATTCCTGTGTTTTTCCTTATATCAAAATCAGCTAGAATTAACATCTACATTATTGAAATGTCATCTTTTTGCCCATCACTTTAGAGATTTTTAAGCCTGTTGAACTTAGTATATAATTATCTCAGCTGTGCTTAGACAATTGAAAGGGTTCTTTGAGCAGAGTTGTTGAGCTCAGTGGAGTAGTTGGTCTTTTTGATTTTTCTTAGGAGGTACCAGATACAAAAACCCGTGAGAGATTCCTGGATATAGAACAGGGATTAGATGAGAGAAAATCTGGCATCATTTCTTTACAGGACACGTTATAGCTTCAGAAGGCCCTTGGTCTTTGCTGTTGGCAGGCCTTGTAACAAACCATTCTTGGAGGGCCTTGAGGGAGGGATCAGTTGTGCAAACGAAACAGAGACTTTTGGATAACTGACTAACATCAAGGCATATTGATGGCAATCAGCAATTCGAGTCAGGAAAAGGACTAGCCTTCATCTCCCTTTTTTCCCTTCTCCTCCATGTAATTTTAATTCCTTATATTTCTAGCTACATTTGTCTATTGTCACCTGACTGTGTTTGTGGACACAGCTCTGGGTCTGAAGCAGCCCATGGCCTCCCTAGATAGCATCAAAGAACTTATTTTTAAAAAAGAAAAAAAAAAAGAGGATCCCTTATGCCTGTTTGCTATGCCCTTCCTTGATCTCCTTCCTCAAACTAAGTAGAACATTCTGCCGCTTTTCTATTTTGGGGGCTCTGCAACCACACCAATCATTGAGGTGACAAAAGACTATCTCATGATTTTCCAGCTCGAATGATATATTTTGTGGGAAAATTAAAAGGCTGTATTTCTATACTTTTTGAGATTTTTCTATTTCAAGAAGCATATTTTGTTAGAAGTGGACTTTTAATGGAATATTTATGCATATAAATGCCACAGCTTTGGTTTAAATCACAGTTTTGTCTGTGTTAGCCAGCTAATATTCACTTTATAGGAGAACATTTGAAAATATCAGTTTTAGCATCAATAAAGGTGAATGGTTATTAACATCAGAAACAAATGAGTATTGACTCTCTCAATCCAGGTAAAGAGGAATGCCCTCTGCTCTTCAAGTTTGCATTAGCCAAACCTGACTAATGTCATGAAGCAGACGTTAAGTTTAAACATTGAAACTTTCTGTTCAGAATTGACTTAGATGTACTTTCTGGCAGCTGTGGGTTTAGGTTTAAGATATTTAATATGTGAACAATGTTCCAGCTATCTACAAACTAATCCTAGAATTTGGATCATGCAGAGCTCATTACGAACATTTTACTAGCGCAGTAAAAAACATTCCAAGAGGGCTAAGGGATTCAATCAGAAAACCTGAATTCATCACAGTAACTTGAATAGTGTAGGAATTAGGCATCATTACCAGCCAACCAAAATCTCATTACCATTAGTAATATTTCAGCAGGCACTGCTCCGCTTCCTAAATTGTAGTTGAGACTGTCATCTGATAGGGAAAAAAAAACATCTGTCTCATTCAGAGTTATAAGGGTGGTATAGATGAAAGTCATCACAGCTCCTTGATCCATTTTTGAGAAAGGGAAAGGCGCTTCCATCATTTTGTTCTGTCCTCAGCCTGTGAGTTTCCATGCTTGACATTCTCTTTGTCTGCTCCCCTTCCTTGAACTTGATTTTTCCATTGATGTGGGGCCTGGATCAAATGGACAGAAACCAGGGCTACACAGAAGAGGTGAAGTCAATAGCGACCTGTAATGCAAGGGCTCAGGAGAGTGAACCTGTGGAAGGAGGAGGAGGACTCAGGAAGGTGCCAGATCTTCACAAGGATGACCTGGCCCAGCGGAGAATCCAGGGCAGCCTTGCCTCTCACCGTGAGCCCCGAAGCTTCATTACACTCTCCAACATAACAGAAGCCGACTTGGAGACGTGGGAGAGACTCAAAGTGTCAGAAAAGACGAGGTGTGTCATGTTTCCCCCTGGCAGTAGTAGTATTTTATTTTGAAGGCATCAATACACATCCTTGTATCTTTTTATTTTTTAAGTCAGGGTCTTGCTCAGTTGCCCAGGCTGGAATACAGTAGCTTGATCACAGCTCACTGTACCCTTGACCCCTGGGCTCAAGCAATCCTTCTGACTCAGCCTCTTGAGTAGCTGGGACTACAGCCCCATGTCACCATGCCTGGTTAATTTTTTATAGAGACAAGGTCTCACTACGCTGACTATGCTGGTTTTGAACTTCTAGGCTCAAGGGATCCTCCCACCTCAGCTTTCCAAAGTCCTCAGATTGTAGGCATGAGCCACTGCACCTGGCCAAATTTTTAATTGATTTTTTTTTATAGAGACAGGGTCTTGGTATGTTGCTCAGGCTGGTCTTGAACACCTAGGGCTCCTAGGGCTCAAGTAATCCATATCAGCCTCTCAAAGTGCTGGAATTACAGACATGAGCCACTGTGCGGGCCCCTTGTATTATTTTTTATTTTGATGGCTTGAAAAAGTGCCTCTCACATCACAGAGTTCCTGGAGCTCAGCACATGCATCATGAGATGAATTTATTAATACTCAAGTTATAAACCACATGGAGAGAAAACATTCTCTTTTTAGTTGACTTTCTAAGAATGGTTATTTATTTTGATAGGCTTGTTTACTGTAAAGAATTTAAACTTGACTTTAAAATAATTTTAATTATTCCACAGTACCTAAGATTTTCTTATGCCATCACTTATGATGTTAGAGATGTTAGAATTAATATTTTGAAAGCTATAGAAACTTAAAGACAAGGTAATTATCATTTTTAAGCAAGACAATGATCATTTCTTCATTTGAGTATTAATGGAAAAGCAATTCTGCTCTAGCCATAAAAGTATTTTTCATATACAGTTTTCTCTCGGTATGCATGCTTAATTCCAAGATTCCCCTTGGATACCAAAATTTTTAGATGCTCAAGTCCCTTATATGAAATGGTATAGTATTTGCATATAACCGATGCACATCCCCCAAATACGTGAAATTATCTGTAGATTACTGATAATGCCTACAGAAACCTAAGCATACCTTGTACACGTATACCTAATACAGTGCCTTCACATCACTTCATTCATGTGGATTCAGTGTAGTACTTAGTGCATAGCAAAATTCAAGTTTTGCTTTTTGAAACTTTGTGGAATTTTTTTCTCCCAAATAATTTCCACTGAGGTTGGTTGAATCCACCAGTGCTGAACCCACTGATAGGGAGGGCCAACTACTTCTAGTATTTTTTTTTCAAACCTCTTACTGATTTTTACTCAGACATTTTTAGAACTTCTTTCTGGTTTTGACTAGGGATGGAGATGTTCAGCATATCTGTGCTTCTGAGCCTTCCCTAGAAATTAAAGCAGAAACTGCCATCCGTGATGACTTTGCCAACCGCAAAGCAAGGGCCTCTAAGAAAGCTTCCAGCCCCAAGCAAAAGTTTGTGCACTTTGGACCAGTGACGGAGATAGACCAGCAGAAATGGAAGCGGCTTAGCATTGGCAAGGCTGGGCCTAGAGAGGATGAAGAAGAAGTCATCTGTCATGGCAGCAAGATCCAAACGGACTCTATGTCTCCTGTCTCAGTGGCCGCTTCCAGCTTAAAGGGGCACCAAGCGCTTAATGACTACAGGTATTTTTCACCATACATGAGCAAGGATATCTGCATGGGAGTCACTGCTGCTTTTTTTTATGAGATGGAGTCTTGCTCTGTTGCCCAGGCTGGAGTGCAGTGACGTGATCTTGGCCCACTGTAACGTCCGCATCCCAGATTCAAGCGATTCTCCTGCCTCAGCCTCCTGAGTAGCTAGGATTACACGCACGTGCCACCACACCAAGCTAATTTTTATGTTTTTAGTAGAGACGGGGTTTCTCCATGTTGGCCAGGCTGGTCTCAAACTCCTGACTTCGTGACCTTCCCGCCTCAGCCTTCCAAAGTGCTGGGATTACAGGCGTGAGCCACTGTGCCTGGTCCCACTGCTGCTTTTAAAGAGTTTGCTGAAGAACATTATACAAACCCCTAGAGGTGACATAGTTTTAACAGACTATGTATAGCAGAGAAGTAATGTTAGTTGGTCCCCTTGGGGGGAATGTGTGTGTGAAGTTAAATGGCAGGCATCCATTTTGATTCTGTTGTCACCAGAATCACTGCCTGGGAATGTCAATAATCTTGACAAATGACCCTTTTTCCCTTGGCTGCATCCAGCACTGTTTTATTAGTTGAAAATATTGAATGAGCTAAATGGAATGTTTTAATGATATCACTAGGATTTCTTGGGCTTATCTATAACCTCTCTCTTTCCTATGCCTTAGAGAGAGGAAGAAAAAGTTATTAGTATCATGAATTCACATTTTGGACATCTAAGTAGACATATTAAAAAAGTAAAGGTCTCCTTCCTCCCTACTTTTTAAAATTGTATAATAAATCAGGAGTCTAAAAACACTCCTCTTTGGCGGTTTCTATAAGCCAAGACTTTTCTTGGACGAATCACCATCCAAATGTGTAGGGGAAGAACATCTTATAGGCCTGTCCCTAGTTCTGGTCCTCCCTGGAGGCCACCCAGTTTTGAATTCCCAAGTCCTCTTTTGGGGATTTGGTTCTGTGGGCTGATCTTTCTTCCAGGAAACACATATAGGACGTGTGTAAAACTGGATGGTCCCCAGGAACCTCCATTCCATCTGTACAGTGGGAGCAAAATGAGGCTCTCCATAGCCAGAGGAAGTGTTCCTAGCATTCTTCTTTATACTTTGCCCTTGAAATCCAAAGGAAATAATGGATGGCCCCATGACAAGGGTTTCTTTGGTTCCAGATTCTGGGTGACACCATAGAAGAGAGAAGGCTGTGAACATCAGAAATAAAGAGTTGAGGTTTCAGAGGCTGGTGGGAATCTGAGGTGGGGAGGGTGTAGGAAAGTAATAAGAAATACATCCTTCAGGCCTTGAATCCTGAGGGGCCCATCACTCAGTCTTGTGGTGACAGTCACGCCAGCCTTGTTTGACCTTCATAGACCCTAGCCAGAGTTCACATTCCATTATCTCAATCTGATTATATCATCCTTACTAACCAGCCTTTGGAATGAGAGCAGCCACATTCTTCTCTTAATCTTTCAGTCCCAAGGACATTCATTGTCTTCTTTTGTAACCCTTGTTCCTCTCCTTTCTTGCCACCAATGCTACTTGATCGTCTGCAGAACAGTGAATTCTGGCCTAGGTGACTATTGCAGAAGGGCCTCGTGGCTGGCTCCTGTGCCGGAGTCCCAGGAAGAGTGGGTCTGCAGTCTGGGCGAGTGCCCGAGGGGGACAGAGGAAGGTGAGGAGCAGTGTTTCCTGCCTCTCCAGGAGGTGAAGGAGGACAGGTGGGGTCAGGGCCTCTGGTGTGAATTCTTTCCTAGGAGTGAAACTATCCTCTCTGGCTTTAGTTACATCCAAACAGCTGCCACAGGATGGCAAAGAAGAAATGGAAAGTGCTCTGAGAGATTCCAAGAGGCTGTCAAAGGCAGAAAGATCAGAAGAGAGCAGCCAGCCACTGTGAGCATCTTGCCTGCGCTCTGCTCCGTGGTGTGTTGCCCCTGCTGTGTGTGGCTGTCGTGTTTCCAAAAAAATCAGCTTAAAGGCCCAGTCTGCACTTGGCAGCTGATAGAGGGTGGAGTAAAGTCACTAAAAGAGTGTTCTCATCCCAAGATCAGAGTGCTGCTTCTGGTGCCCGCTCTGGGTAGTGATTTTAGCCTTTGCATGTGGCTGAGTACTGGCCAAATTTCATTCTCAGGACTCATGAAAACCAGAAAGGGAAACCTATCCTGTGTGAGTACCAGCTGCATGACAGCAGGTCCCAGTGTTCAAAAGGGAGATATCCTGCTCAGCTGCTGTGTGTGCCGCTGCCTCCAGGGACGCTGGCTTCTTCTGTCTTGAATTAACGCCAGTGAGTGACGCTACTGAAAATATCTTTAGCAGTAAGTGGCCTTTGACTGGCTGGACTGAATGTTGCCCTAGGGTGTGTCCTCTGGCCTCTGAGTATGAGGCTTCAGGGACAGAAGAGAAGTTGGAGAAGATGACAGCTCCTGCCTGGAGTGGCAGTGGACTGAAAGGCCAGCGAAAGTTGGATGATACACGAAAAGACGATATGATGGCCAGGAGAACTGGGATGTCCCTTAGACACACTGGATCCAACCCAAACCAGTTCCTTCCAGTTCCGTTTGCAAAGAAACAGGAGGTGGAAGAATCTTCTAAGGGTCCACCCATGAAAGATCAGAGGTCAGAAGGTTATTCTGTGCCCTTGTGACTTTGTTTCTCTAGTCTAAGCTTTCAGTATGTTCTTGATGCATATGGCGCCTCAGTGCCACTTACCTGCTGTTGCTAGCAGAAACAGAATGATTAAAATTGGCCTCATGTGCCAAGAATTTTTTCCTCTTTTTTGGCATGTAAGCAAGTATAATTCGGGGGTGAATTTACCTGCTAAACATTTTTTGTTTCTGACTCTTGTGGACTTAGTAAATGGGAAATTCTTTTCTTTCTAGCTCACAAAGGAGCCTTTGGGTAAAGGGGTTGAACTTCTTTCTGACTTACTTGATTTCACTCTGATTCCAGGTACAAAGAAAATGAATACCATTTACAAAAGTTGTAATTATATTGATTTTCCAACATTAGCAAACACTCGTTGCCTTCTGGAGGTAGGATTTCTATTCCATGCTCTGACTTAACTTAGAATTAAGCACAACTTGATGACAAGTAAGGGAATAATTATCCTGGGGTTCATGTTCCAGTTTAGAGTCCTATGTGTTGAAGCCTCTCTTGCCATTTAATAAAAGTGATACATTTTTGTTAAATATATGGTTAGCCTACCAATATAGGGCAAAGGAATGGGGAGTGCTTTGCATAATTTATAAGCTCACCATAAAATAGGAAGCTATGGAGTTCTTTTTCTGCAAGGACCCTGATGGCAATGGGACAGAAGAAGGCAGAGTGGGAGGCAAAGAAAACAGTAGGTAATCTCCATATTTTTGAAAAATAAATACCCTAGCCATCTTTATCAGCTGAATATAATTTATATTTTACATTCTTCTGAATAAAACAGTAATGGAGCCTAGCACTGTTTTGTATTTTTAGTAGAGACAGGGTTTTGCCATATTGGTTAGGCTGGTCTCAAATTCCTAACCTCAAGTGATCCACCCGCCTAGGCCTCCCAAAGTCCTGGGATTGCAGATGTGAGCCACTGTACCTGGCCTGTCACTGTCTTTGTGATTTAGGAAAGAGTCCTCTTTATTTTCACATGGGAGTGGATGGTTACTCTGAGCACAAGGAGGAATGGTCAGGTGAACTATGTGACATACTGTGTGATTGATTGAGCCAGCATTCACCGTAAGGATGCACATTTCCTTTCAACAAGTGTTTATTGAGTAATAGTCACTGTGTGTAAAGGACTGTGCTGGGTGATGGGGGGTAATTTTAGATGAGCAGTAAAACCATTTTCTCTCCCTCTCACTTTAAATTTAGCTAGTGCTAGTTCATGATATAGAAATAGATAACTAGCAAATTGTTGATTCTAAAATGTTTTATTAGTAGTGAAAGTTACATAAATATAGTCAATGGATACATAGGCTGTTATCTTTATCTTTCTACCTACCCTTACCCTCAAAAGTAAACTTTATTTTTTTTGAGACAGGATCTCACTCTGTCGCCCAAATTGGAGTATAGTGGTGTGATCACAGTTCATGGGAGCCTGGACCTCCCAGACTCAAGCAATCCTCCCACCTCAGCCTCCCAAGTAACTGGGACCACAGGCGCATACACCACTATACTTGGCTACTATTTTTGTTTTTCTTTTGTAGATGTCCATGAAAAGCTGTTAATTACAGGGTCTCACTGTGTTGCCTAGGTGGTTTCGAACTCCTGGGCTCAGTGATCCTTCCACCTTAGCCTCCCAAGTATTAGGATTACAGGCATGAGCCACCATGGTGCCAAGCCTCAAAATTAAACTTTATTGACTTTTTTTTTTTTGTAATGGGATGCTTATGTCAACTGTGACCTGTCTGGCCTGTTTTGTACCTCATAGCCTATTGACTCAGGTACTTTGCATTAAACAGATTGCTTTATTAGTGTTCCCCACCCCCAACTTGCCTTTACTTTTTGGTCTCCTGTAGAATGATTGGGAAAGTCACTTGACACCTCAGCTCTAATTATCTCCCCCTTGCCAGCAAAGGCAATTCTGCTGAAGTTGGTGCCCTTTTAAAGCTAATACATCAGTCTCAAAGGAAATTCCTTAAACCCACAGTACATAGGAAAGGGATAAATGAAGGTTATCTTTGGAAACTGGGCTATTCTTTTCAATTTTTAGAGCACCTGGTAAGCATTTAATAAATACTTATTGAGGAACTAGTTTGGTTGCTGTTCAGGGAACCCAAACAGAAAAATCTCTGCTCCTGTGGGGCTTACCTTTTTTTTGGTAGAGATGTCCATGAAATGCTGTTAATTACTTTGTGTAGAAACAACTTAAATTCAGATATATCCTAGATGCAACAACATAGTTGAAACTCACAAACAAAATGTGTTAAAGAAGCCCAGCTCACGAGTACATACTATTTGAGTCTGTTTACATAGTACAAAACGCTCAACACTAATCTATGCATATGTTCAGTTCGTGAAAATTCATTGATGTATATGTGTGGTATGTACACTTTGTACACTTTCTGTATCTGTAATAAGATGTTAATGCACTATCTGTAATAAGATGTTAATTAGAATGTTCAAATTAGGACACAGAAACACATAGCAACTATTAATAGATTCTTGATTAACCATCCATTGGGAAGAAATTCTCTGCTGTCTTGCATAGATAACTTGCATAGAAAACACTGTGTTTTAATAAATTTATTCCAATAGGCTTATTTATTAACTGGGAAACATTTATCTAGTCTTCAGAATTAATATTGCCCTGTACTCTTTTTCTTTCTTTCTCTCTTTTTCTTTCTTTCATCTCTTTCTCTCTCTTTCTTTTCTTTCTCTTTTTCTTTCTTTCACAGAATCTTACTCTGTCATCACCTAGGCTGGTGTACAGTGGTGTGATACCTGCCTCCTCAGCTCAAACTATTCTCCTGCCTCAGCCTCCAGAGTGGCTGGGACCACAGGCATGCGCCACCATGCCCAGCTAATTTTTTGTGTTTTTGGTAGAGATGAGGTTTCACCATGTTACCCAGGCTGGTCTTGAACTCCTGAGCTTTTAAACAATCTGTTCGCCTTGACCTCCCAAAATGCTGGGATTACAAGCATGAGTCACCATGCCCATGCCATTCTCTCTTGATGTGAAAGAATCCACTCATTATCTGCTTCAGTGTAGTAGTGTTTTGGAAAATTGAGAATATTAGATTCTACTTAAACATCTTCTGAAACGATCCTCTGGAGAAAGAGAAAATGAGTCTTACTGCTAGAAAAAAAAACATACCTAAACCCTTTCCTTGCCTTGCTTTTGGCCATTTCCACAGAGATTTGGGGTTTTGCCCTGGCATGGTTGCCTTCACTGTTAATTAAGTAATTATCAATGAATGCAGACTATTTTAGAATGATAAAAGCCTAAGAAAGAAGAGGGTATGTGTGCGTACGTACACTCATGCATTCTGGGCTGTTTCCTCTAAGACTGCAGAAGAGATTTTTAGAAATTACCCTTTTCCTATAAACTATTGTGTAACTGATCATGGGACAGGTAATTTTTGCTGCTGACTCCAAAATGTAATTTATTGGAAACTGGAAGCAGGATGTATTTGCTTTACTATTCTTTGTCCGCCATCAGAATTGCAGAAAGAAGAAGCTTTTCAGAATATAGGTAAGAACTGACCCTTAAAACTCACCTTTGCTGAAGAGACAGGCATTTTTAGGAGCTGTGTTTTTTTTTCTATTGTTGTTGTTATTTTTAAAAATGTGCTTGAAATATGCCTTGTAATGTTCTAATATTTTTCTAATTTAGTCTTTTTACTTTAGTCTCATTTAGACTTCAGGTGACTGCCACAGAGGGTACAACTTTATGGATCTAAATTATCAGGAGAATATATAAGATTAGAAAAAAACTTCAGTTTTTCAAGTAATGAAATATCATTGAAGTCTGGTTTTGATTAAGGCTACCAGTTTTCTAGGAATTGTGGTTTCTGTCAACTGCATGCAAAAGACACTGATTGGGGTTCTGGTTTACTTTCAGAAAACTGCAGAAACACTCTTTGATGTTACTTGTGCAAATGCATTAACGTATCAGGGACAGGGTCAGTAAGGGCGTGCTTGTACAGTGGGTGTCCATTATAGCCCATTACTGCTGAACATAAAGGCACAGAAAGTTGAACTGTTTGTGAATGACTGTAACACGTTTGTTTTCTAAGCTGCCTTCTCTAAACAGTGTGGACTGTACCTAAGCCTTTCTGTGTTTATATAGAACAGATTCTTTCTTTCTGTGTAGCATGGGGATTATTTTCATTTCTCCTCTGGGTTTTGAGATAAATTCTGCATTTTTTAGAAATATCAAGACTTGTCTTTGATTTTCAGCAGCCAATGAATATTGTTAATTGTATAATCCCGCTTCTCTTTCAGTATCTCAGCAAAAAAGGCTTGGTGCACGTGTATTTCACCAGCAGTTTTTATTTCCAGCTTGCTTACAGCATTCACTTTCTGTTTTGCCAGTTCTCTAATTTTGTATTTGATCTTATAGATACGGTCCGAGAACTCCTGTGTCTGATGACGCAGAGTAAGTTGCCTTGTATTTGTAGGATTACATTAATTACTAGCCTAAACTGCATGCTTCCAGTACTTACCACTAATGGAAATGCAACTGATGCAAGTGAACTGAATAGTTAGCTGACTTGTGCAGCAAAGCACTTAAAGTTGGAATGCAGAGCATATGTTCTGTGCAGGAAAGATGAATGAAAAAGCAACTTAAGCATGATTCTAATATGAAGCTGCTGCTTGAAACCTAACATTTGCTTTTCAAAGACTGGGCATGTTAAAGTTGTTCATGTTATGGGTTGGACATTGGTACCCCTTCTAAACCACCAAATTATTTAAAGGGTATTCTGAGTTTTGCACTTAATTCTTGATGTGTTGGGGCTTAGAGTTAACAACGAAGTAGTCATTCCTATAGTCACATTTTTTAACGGAGTAAATAAATCCCAAACCACTAATCATAGATTCAGAAGCCCAAGTTCCTCCCAGGTTGGAGTCATATAAACTGTGGGATGCTTGAGACCAAAACATTGGAGTTTTGCTCAAGTTCCATGGATAGTAAGGAGCCAAGGATATAAGACATGACTGGCCCTTCCCCTCCCTGCTGCTTGGTTTTCACTCCTCTCAGAGATTCATTCCTCATCCCGTACTTCACATCCAAATTTGAGAAGAATCCAAACCCTCCCATTTGTGACCACATTAACTCTGCTTCAAAAAAGGCTTTCCCATATCCAGATCATTCTGCAACTGATACACAAGGCAAACATTTTCTTTGCAAAATACTGGCCTTCTCAGATTCAAGTAACTTGTATTTGAAGAAACATGATTAATATCTAAATCCCATGTCAGTAGTCTGCTGATCCTGACATCGAGGGGCATTTTGTGGCCTTGTGGGAGCCTGGGCCATCCAGAATGTAATCACCAGCGCTTCTCTGCCTGTCCTTTCCTGAGCCTCACTTTCAATTCACAGAATGAGGAATTTGAATAGAATTTGCATGTAGAACACGCAAACCATTTCCACCAGTGACAATGAGATTAGGCAAAAAACTAAGTGTCTTCAGATTGTGCTGTTTTTCATGTTTGCGTTCAAGGTGTCTGCTTAGTTTGGACTCCAAGCCCTAAGTGGTCAGACTCCAGGGCCAAGTTTCCCATGTGTGATCTGTGATTGGTTAGTGGCCTGACATAAAGAACACTCATGCCTTAAAACCAAATTCAGCCTGAGCTTGACTGACTGCACAGAGTTAAGTAGTCTGTAAAATTGAGCCCTGGTTATAACTTTTCAAACCTGCAATGGCAATACTTAAGGTTCACTGAAAGGAGGATTTTATAAGATTGATAGGCAAAACATTACTTTGGTTTGGTGAGCAAAAACATTTTGATAGAATGGGTTCATTCTTCATCAGTGCAAGGCTGCTATGCAGTTTGCTTAAAATAGACCTTTGGGAAACCCTAAAAGGTGAAAGAAAAAAAGGGAAATTAAAGAGTTTCTGAATTTTGCCTGCACCTGAACACAAAACTTCACACTTTACCCACAGGAAGAATTAATGATTTCTTAAAAGGGGTGGGGACAGGGACCCCCTTCTTGTCTTCTCCAAGTTTGCAAAAAGCAGCCCCAGGAACCAAGAAGAGTAAAAGGAGCTTCTTTTCCAGAGCTCTTATCTGGGGATCTCCAAAGTGCTGAGTTTCCTGTGTGGAGTAGATAAAATTTACATGAAACCATGTGGGGAACAAAATGAAAAGTTGATATCAGGAATTTATTCTTAAAGTGGAAACTTATCCTATTTTTAGTTTATTCCCTTAATATTTCTCTTTTCCTAAATCTTTAAAGGCATTTTTTTTGGCATAGGCTATATTTATTAATAATGGACACATTCTTAAAATTTAGCCCAGTCAAAACAGATGTGCCCTTTAAGGATAATATAGGTCGGGGCACACCTACCGCACAGGCAAACGGAGAAATTTCCACCTCCTGGCCAGCCAAGAATGTTCCCGTAGATTTTATTTCACCCTCTTGCCCTTTTCCTCACTTGCACACTCTTTCCCTTCCAATACCTTCGGTAGGTTGGGAGAGCCATGGGCCATTTTATCCTGAATTCCTTTACCACAGACGTGGCCCAGAAAAAATTTCCAGGCTCCCTTGGGGTAATTCCTTCCTGGCCTTCAAAAATGCCAGCCCACCACCAAGAGAGATGCCAGAGCAGCCAGGAGCTCTCATCCCAACAACCCAAGGGCATGGACATAAGGTACTGAGGAGCACAGGATTAGTCCAAGTCACATTACTATTTTGGAAGCCGGCCTTCTCCAGGATCCCATACCCGCCAACCCCCATCCCAGACACACACTTCTTCATTTGGGAGGCCAAGTCTAACCTGAGCTGTCATTTTCTATCTAGTATGATCAGTTCTCAACTTCTTAATTCCTTTCTGTTTTTCAAAAATGGTATATATGTCACTCACAGGTTTGTCACTTCTTTTTTGGCCAGTTTGCTGGTATTTCTTAAAAAAAAAAAAACAACAGTACAGGTTGAGCCTGCCTTATAGAAAATGCTTGGAATGAGAAGTGTTTCCGATTTTGAATTTATTTTTATTTTGGAATATTTACATATATATATAGTTAAATATCTTGGGAATGGAACCCAAGTCTAAACATGAAATTCATTGATATTCCATATATACCTTATATGCATAGCCTGGAGGTGATTTTATACAATAGTTTTAATAATTTTGTGCATGAAACAAAGTTTTGACTGCATTGTGACTGCACCCCATCACACCAGGTCTGGTGTGGAATTCTCCACTTGTGGGGTCATGTCAGCACTCAAAAAGTTTTGGAGTTTGGAACATTTCGGATTTCAGATTTTGGGATTAGGGATGTTCAACCTGTACTTCCTGGTACGTGAAAGGGCAAACAGGAGTTTCTCCTTTTATTTAACCAGGTTTGGCCACATTTGGGCTGAGCTAGTTAGAGCTTCACAGTGGGAGTGGAGATGGGAATGCAGGACAAACAGAGGTAATTCTAAAGACCTGCTCTCATTTTCTCCATGCCCATTGGGTGAGATAATCAAATCCCAGATCCTGGAGAAGGCTGCCATTTTCTTCCTGGGTCCCAGAAGAAAACCTGGATCTATGGCCACCTATTGTGGCCCAAACCAAAATTCTGCCCTATAGATATAATAGATGGCAGAGTTGAATGAAGGGACCTCTTTTCTCTCCCATAATCTACCAACTACTTAGTGTGGGATAAGAGGTTCCCAGCTCAGAGAGGTTTAAATCTTCTAAGATCTTAGCAAAGATTATAAATCACAATAAAAGATGAACTGACTAGATTGACTATTTTAAAAGTAATTTTTTTTTAATTGTGAGAGGAAGAATGGGATGAATTTTTGTCTCTTTCTGGAAGGCCTACTTAAGTGAATTTTGATCCATGAAGTCTAAAAGTATGGGTTGGACTTTCCTACCAATCTTGCAAATTTCTAAATCTTCCTTAAACACCATTAATCAATAATCTAAAATAGATGAAAAATCACAGCCCTTCTCCTCTATCGAGGACTACAGTTTCTTTCTTTCTTTCTTTTCTTTTTTCTTTTTTTTTTTTTGAGATGGAGTCTCGCTCTGTCACCCAGGCTGGAGAATCTCAGCTCACTACTACCTCTGCCTCCCAGCTTCAAGCCATTCTCCTACCTCAGCCTTCCTAATAGCTGGGACTAGAGGCATGTGCCAGCATGCCTGGCTAATTTTTTTTCTATTTTTAGTAGAGAAGGGGTTTCACCATGTTGGCCAGGCTGGTCTAAACTTCTGACTGCAAGTGATCTGCCTACCTCGGCCTTCCAAAGTGCTACAGGTGTGAGCCACCACGCCCAGCCCAGTTTATTTTTTCTAGAAGGCACACCTGCTGAAATCTGGACTCTCCACTGAATACATGGAGGCAGCATTATGCAGTGACTTGTCATATCCATGCTAAACCTCAGCAAAGAGTCCTTCTATGCAGCTAGCGTATTAGAATACTCTTAGGGAAGAGAGGTTACAAGTACAGTTTTCAGTTTAGTTCTCTTAGGTCAGACTTAAATTGTCCAATATCTGAAGGGCAGAGAGAGGCACTCACACATTCATACAGATTCCTTTTGAGTGGATTGAAAGGACGGTGGGCAGCCCTGCTTCGGGGGTTATCTTCCAGAGGGAGGGTTCTCTTCCCTGCTAGGGAGTCCATTGCATTCAGCAATGCTGCTGGTGTTCATTGTCTGGCCATGGAGTAGCAATTTTGGACATCACGATGATGTCTGGAATTTGTTGGTGTCTCAGTGCATGGTGTTTTTTTTTTCTTTGTGTTAGGCTGGTTTCAAAAATGGACTATCACCTTTGTTTTGTTGCTAGCACTTAACAGTGAGCTTTTAAGAGCCCTCTATGTCTTGAATTTTGGGCTCCATACCCACTTGGTCCCAAAGTGAGTCATTTCTTTGCAAGAAAAATAAAAGGAGGAGGATTTTGCTTTGATTTCTATTTCTGTTTTCATCTTGCTGCTTCAGCTTTTGCTGTAATAACGGTTTATGTAAGCATCACAAAAAAAAAGCCCTACCGTCTTGCCCAATGTTTAGTAAGCACCTATAGAATATATAAATTATATGCACAGTCTAAGAGTTTTTTGAAGATTGCTTTCCCTATCCTTTTTCTTTTAAAAGGGTATATTTAAAGGTATCCTAACAAAAATTAAGTGTGTGCATATTAGGATACAAAATATATACCTAATTTACGTATCTTACTTCTTATTCTTGTTATAAAATGCCTTGTTTTCTTGATTCCAAGATGCCATCAACTGCACTATCCATTACAGCAGTTTTACAAGAAATGAAAAGAATTAATTACAACAAGCATACATCACCAATCCATAGTTGTCAGATGCACCTAAAATTCAATAAAGTAAAATAAGAAAAAGCAGGTGTCTTAAACTTCAGGCCAAATGATATATTTTTGGAAATGGAGAAATTGCCTTTATTCATGTAGGAAGAAGCCTTTAAGCCAGCTTCCTTTTACCATAATAAAGTTTCACTTACTGGAACACCGCCCTTTGCCCCCATTACCTCTCCCCAGGTTATACCTTTTAATTATTTTATTTTTAAATGCATTTCCAAATGAGAGGATCCCAGGGCTTCAAATACCATTTTTCTAGCTCTTCTTTATCCTATTTTGGCACCTACATATAAAATGATCTTGACCCGATTCAGTGACATCACTGAAGACAAAGACTGTCATATTTTTGGCGTTTGCGGCAAAGGGAGGCGGTGGGGTGCCAGCACGCCCACTGCCCGCCCAGGGCCAGAACAGGCCGCCAATCACGCGCCGTGCGCAGCCAGGGAAGGGGGCAGTTTTCCAAGCCTGGTAGCGCCCCCACGCGGCAGGACGCCCAGGCGCGCGGAGACGCGAAGGGCGCTGATCGCGGTCCCTCTTGTGTTCGCTCTCTCCTCACTCAGGAGCACGAGCATGTTTGACATGCGGTGTGAGGAGGAGGCCGCGGTGCAGCCGCACAGCAGGGCCCGCCAGGAGCAGCTGCAGCTGATAAATAACCAGCTGAGGGAAGAGGACGACAAATGGCAAGATGTGAGTTCCAGCCAAGGCGCGTGGGCAGCGGGGAGGATTCTGGTAGAAAATCCAGCCGGGTGGGTAGATGTGGACTTGAAAGCCATGCCGGGAAAGGGAGCCCCTAGCGGGTTTCAAAAGGTGACACGGTAAATGTGGGACTCGAAGGTGAATAGCAGCGTGAAGGTATGCAGTGATGGTACAGACCTGTAATCAGCAAACACCCTGGCTAGAAGAAGCTTGGCCACAAAGGAGAGGGGAGAGGAGGCAGGAAACTGGAACGGGTTGTAGAATTGAGGCTACACACTATCTTCTGAGGTTATATATTTGAAACTAATCGTGGTGATGATGATAGTAACGCTAACAATGGCCAACATCAATCGCGTACCAGTACCAGGCATTGTTCTAAGTGCTTTGCATGCATTCACTTAATCCTCTTAGTAACTCAATGAACTAGCAACTCTTATTGTCCCTGATTCCACAGACAAGTCCCAGCACAGCTGTCGCTTGCTGAATGTCACACAGCTAGCCAGTGGGGGAGCCAGGATTAGAACCAGGGAAGGAAGGCTAAAGAGGCTGATGAGGGCTTTGAGATTGTGTACTGAGAGCCAAGGCGGGGAGAGAGGAGGGAGAGTGGATTATTTCATTGAATTCTCACAGAGCATTCTGGAGGTAGCTATTGCAAACTTGACTCCACCTTTAGTTTAAAAAGTTAACTTCTCCAAAGTTGATAAAATGTAGTAACAATTACATCTAGAGTATCTTGAGCATTTACTATGTGCCTGGCACCTTGCATCTATTTTCATATTTAACCCTACAAGCTTGTAAGAATAGGTGCTTATATCTTCATTTTAGAGATGAGGAAATGGAGCCACAGGAAGACTGAGAAACATGCCTGAGATTCCAAAGCATGAAAAAGATAGAGCTGGGATTATTTCCCACAGCTGCAACCCCATCCATCTGACCCCAGAATCCGCACTCCTTACAATAACCTCACCATAATCCTAAGGGTAGTTATGGTGAGGTTATTGTAAGGATCACATGAATTAATACATATAGAATCACCAGATCTGTAAGACTCAACACTATTTTTTTCTGCCTTGACTACTTTCCATGTGGAAACTGTATAATACAAACGAATTCCTACCATTCTATTGTCAGCAAATCTATTCACAATGCAGAGGTTATAAATAGGAAGGAATGAAGTTTCTTACAATTACCTTGTGAGGCAGTTCTCTGAAATTTGACAACTGACACGAAATGTGATTGCATATTTCACACTGCCATATTTAAATAAATGTCCTGCCCTGTTATGGATACTGTAGATAATATCTGGTTGTTTCTGCCTTTGAGGCATTCCAATTCCAACCAGACTTACATTGGATTGTGTGGGAATGCCCTGTTGTAGGGCCTGGGCCCTTAGTCAGTTCTCTAAAGAGTAGAAATGTCTAAACTCTGAAGAATAGAAATGGAATTATACACAAGTCTGAAGAAGAATATTACATCTTTCTTTCTCTGCCAGGACCTGGCTCGTTGGAAGAGTCGTAGAAGAAGTGTTTCTCAGGACTTAATCAAGAAAGAGGAAGAAAGGAAAAAAATGGAGAAGTTACTGGCTGGAGAAGATGGAACAAGTGAACGAAGGAAAAGTATTAAAACCTACAGAGAAATTGTTCAGGAAAAGTGAGTTCTTCTGTTGTTGTTTTTAATGTACAGTATTATCTAGGTGTTTTTTTGTTTCAAAAAATTGTTGGCTACCAACAAAGGTTCTGACACTAACTTTTTCTATTCCCTGTACTATTTCTTTAGTGCTGCCTTGATTTCTACCCAGGTCTTCTTTGCAATTTTCATTAGTTTAATTTGTTAATGCTTCTCCCTCCTATGTCCCATCCTTTAGAGAGCGGAGAGAGAGAGAGTTGCATGAAGCGTATAAGAACGCTCGGTCCCAGGAAGAGGCAGAGGGGATCCTTCAACAGTACATCGAGAGGTTCACCATCAGTGAGGCTGTTCTTGAACGTTTGGAGATGCCAAAAATTCTGGAAAGAAGCCATTCAACAGAGCCAAATTTATCTTCTTTCCTGAACGACCCCAACCCCATGAAATACCTGCGGCAACAGTCACTGCCTCCACCCAAATTCACTGCCACTGTTGAAACCACCATTGCTCGTGCCAGTGTTCTGGATACCAGCATGTCAGCAGGCAGTGGGTCTCCAAGCAAAACTGTCACTCCCAAAGCAGTGCCTATGCTGACACCTAAGCCTTATTCCCAGCCCAAAAATTCTCAAGAGGTTCTGAAGACCTTTAAGGTAGGACAAGTTCTTTAAGAGTAGAACTGAAGCTGAACTCCAGGGAGTCAATCGAAAGAAGCATCATGACCCAAGAAAATGTCATTCATTTTACCAAACAAAAGCAAAATGTGTTAACATTTACAGTTGTGAAAGTTATAAGTCTCTGGAGATTTGATTTGTAAATGCTTAAGGGACAGATGTTTCCCTCAATTGCTATTGTTAATACAGATGGACTCCTGTAGATCAATAGTGGAGGAGTCTCTATGAGCAAGGTCTGTTTTCTAGTTTGATAAAAATGGCATGGTTTTTCTGTACTAGTGGTAAAAACCCTAATTTAGTAATACCCTAGTATTTCTAGGTATTGGGAGGTATGGCAGACTCCTCAAAACAAAATTTTACTTGTTTTTGTTTTTTGTTTTGAGACCAAGTTTCATTCTTATTGCCCAGGCTGGAGTGCAATGGCATGATCTTGGGTCACTGCAGCCTCCACCTCCCAGGTTAAAGCGATTATCCTGCCTCAGCCTCCTGAGTAGCTGGGATTACAGGTGTGTGCCACTACGCCTGGCTAATTTTTTTTTTTTTAGTAAACATGGGGTTTTGCCATGTTGGTCAGGCTGATCTCGAACTCCTGACCTCAGGTGATCCACCCACCTCAGCGTCCCAAAGTATGGGCATGAGACACCGCACCCAGCCGAGATAGGTTTTTTAAGCAAGTAGAACGAAACTAGGTTGCTTTGCTAATGAGTGTGTGAAAGAATGTTTCAGACTGAAGAACTTGTGGAAACCAAACATCTTTTCACTTCCTCAAATTCAAGTATTTTCCCTTACATCAGGAGGAAGCACTCATGCTTTGTCTTGGGACCAGTTCCCCTTGTCCTTGCACTCAAAGAGTTTGTAATAGACAGAGGTGGAATGCATCACTCGGAGATGTGACCATTACGTAGAAAAGTTTTCGTGACCGATTGAGCAATGTGGATGCCATGTATCTTCCTTACTGTATTTCAAAGGGAACCAAACCACACTTTCTGACTTTTGCTAAAATAACTCTGAATGTATCTCCAAAATCTCTACCTTGGGCTTTGATAAAACAAAAGAAAAATGTCCTGTCTCATCTGGATTGCATTGAGCTGCTTGTCCCCTTATAATGGCAAGGCCATGTCTCTGTTATTCATGGCTTCATCCCGAGGGGCTGGCACAGGTGCCCAGGGCACAGTAGGCACTTAGCAAGTGCCCCTTAAATAAATACATGATTTTTTTTCTGAGAAGATGAGCTGCTAATCCTTCGGATTCACACACACACAGATATATGCATGCCCATGTATGCTCAGTGGTTTACCTGTTTCAGAAGCTTCCCTTCACCTAGGGCCTATGATAATGAACAACTATGATATTTCCTGAAGGAAGAATCTGTGTTGAGGTGGCCCAGAATAGGATAGGGAATACATTTCTTTAGCTGGATTTCCAAGGCATCTGATCATAAATCTAGATGTCCACTTCCCCTCCTTTATGTAAGTAGTGCAAAGTGATTGTTTAAACAGAAGAATTAGCATAGATGATTTTATGGCAGAACTTCAGCTCTGAGAAAACTGCTCTTCACCACTGTGGCAGGGTGGTATGGTGGCCTCAGGAAGCACTTCCATGGAGGGGTTATTAAAGAATTTGAGCAGAGGTCTTCTGAGAGATGGAGATCACTCCTGACTACTCACTAGTGGGGGTCCCCTACCTAGTGGTAGTCCTCATTGGCTAGTATTTCTATTGAGGGCTTACGGTTTCATTACTGAGTGTGTGGACAGCAACTTTGGTCAAAGGTCAAAGGTAGTATGCAAATCAGACCATCGTTACCAGCTAACAATGCCAGGACAGAAGCCAAGGGGTGTGTGTGTGTGTGCGTGTGTGTGTTTCTTCTTGGAGGGCAGGGAATACAGGCTTAGTTGTTTTCCCAGTACAGCAGAATTAAGGGTAAAGGAAGATCAAGAGAAATAGTTTGAGGCAGTGTTTTTCAAACTGAGAGTTACCACCTGTTGCTAGGTCATAAAATCAATTTAGTGGTTTGATACCAACATTAAAAAAAATGAACCAGAATAGAATACAATAAAAAAAATGTAATGTGTCACACAGTGAAGGCAAAATTGCTTAGGGAAATTTCTATTTCAGTTACATTACATGTGTATGCTGAGTTGTGATTTAAATTTCTTTTCATGGGTAACAGATAACAGAGTAAGAAGGCCAGTCGCCTAAAGTAAATAAACTATAACTAACATCCAGCCTTCCATTATTTATTTTAAATGATTTAAAAAGGCCTAATGAGGCTGGGTGAGGTGGCTCATGCTTGTAATCCCAGCACTTTGGGAGGCTGAAGCAGGTGGATCACTTGAGGCCAGGAGTTCAAGACCAGTCTGGCCAACATGATGAAACCCTGTCTCTGTTAAAATTATAAAAATTAACCAGGCATGGTGGCACACACCTGTAATCCCATCTACTTGGGAGGCTGAGGCACCCGAATCGCTTGAACCTGGGAAGTAGAGGCTGCCCTGAGCCGAGATTGCGTCACTCCACTCCAGCTTGGGTGACAGAATGAGACTCCATCTCAAAAAATAAAATAAGTAAATAAATAAGAGACCTAATGATAATAATGGCTAATAGTTAAGTACTTAAAATGTGTCATGAACTGTTCTAAATTCTGTACATATAGTAATTCATAAAATCTCCGTAACAGCACTATGAGGAAGATACTGTTACTTTAAATTTTGCGTCTGAGCACAGAGAATAGGAAACCTGTTGAGGATTCCGTGCCTGTTACGTGGTAGAGCCCGGTTTCAATCAGGTCACCTAACTGCAGAGCTCCCTCTCAAAACCACCCTACATTCTGCCTCAAATTTCAAGACTGACATTTCCAGATGCCTTTCAGTAAGCCAGGCTAACCACCCTCTCTGGTTCCCCCTTTCTTGCTCTAACTGCCTCACCTAGATGTGAGTGCAAAAACAAAAATATTTTAATGTGCATAGTCTGTGTTTCTTTAAAAAACGGAGGTTATAAAAATAACTAGAAATGGAGATTCACTGTAACAGAGCATGGTATCAGATCTCTTGCCCTCTGCCATAGCTTCAAAAAAAAGTATCTGTTGCCCCTGCTACCACCATAGGATAACCTGTAAAATATTCCTGATCTGTGGTAAGTTCCACCTCATTTATATGCTTGCTAGAAGAAAAAGTCAAAATTGTGGAATAGCAGTCAGAACTGAAACGAAACATTATTGGAACCCCAATATGTGGTGTATGTGTTTAAGATTCTTTGGTTTTCTGTACTTTCAAATAAAAGCACATCATAAATGAGCATGAAATGGAATATAAAGAGAAGTCGCCCAAGCAGGTCAACTACCTTATAAGGAGGTCCTTAAAGATAGCATTTATAGAAGCCCTAACCCATAGATCCCATCAAAACATTAGAGAAACCTGTTTCTTGATTGGACTGTGGTTATTAAATGATCATCTTTTGAAGTAATTCTGTACATGTCATTTTATTACAGTCTTTGAGGTATAGCATTTTTTTGTCTGTTCTGGGTTTTATAGGTAGATGGGAAAGTCAGCATGAACGGAGAGACAGTTCATAGAGAGGAGGAGAAGGAAAGAGAGTGTCCTACGGGGGCACCTGCCCACTCCTTAACCAAATCCCAGATGTTTGAAGGTGTGGCCAGAGTGCATGGGTCTCCACTGGAGCTGAAACAAGACAACAGCAGCATTGAGATCAATATAAAGAAGCCAAACTCTGTTCCCCAAGAGCTCACAGTAAGAACCAAACATTTCCCACTTCCCTTTGGGATGATTCCATGGTGAAAGAATCTGTTTTTAAAAATAAGTAGGTCATGATAATGACCATTTCTTTCTATGTTGGCGTATTAGTTTTCTAGGGCTGCTTTAAGTACCACAAACTGGATGGCTTGAATGACAGAAATTAATTGTCTCACAGTCCTGGTGGCTAGAAGTCCAAAACCGAGGGGGTGTTGGCAGGGGTGGCTCCCTCTATTGGTCATGAGAGAGAATCTGTTTCAGGCCTTTCTTCTGGTCTCTGGTGGCTGCTGGCAGTTTTGACGTTCCCTGGCTTACAGATGCGTCATCTCCATCTCTGCCTTCGTCTTCACTCATCTTCTCCCTGCAGATGTGTCTGTTATTTCAATTTCCTCTTTATATTTTATTTATTTATTTTGAGATGGAGTTTTGCTCTTTTTGCCCAGGCTGGAGTGCAATGATATGATCTTGGCTCACTGCAACCTCCACCTCCTGGGTTCGAGTGATTCTCCTGCCTCAGCCTCCCGAGTAGCTGGGACTACAGGTGTGCATTACCACGCCCAGCTAATTTTGTATTTTTTAGTAGAGACAGGTTTCACCATGTTGGCCAGGCTGGTCTTGAACTCCTGATCTCAAATGATACACTCGTCTCAGCCTCCCAAAGTGCTGGGATTACAGGCATGAGCCACTGTGCCTGCCCTGATTTCCCCTTTTTAGAAGAACACCAGTCATACACCAGTCATACTGAGTAGGTCCACCCACCTCCAGTGTGACCTCATCTTCACTAATCACATCTGCAGCAGCCCTTTTTCCAAATAAGGTCATATTCTGAGTAGTAAGGGTTAGGACTTCAATACTATGAGTTTTGGGAGACACGATTCAACCTGTATTATTGGAGTCTAATGGAAGGTATTATAATTTATAAGCTAGAATTTATTTTTCATGTCTCATTATTGGTGTCCAGTGTTATAGAATAATAAGTAAATCTTTAAAATACCTTTTTTTCCTGTTTGTTCAGGACCTCATTAGATTTGTTAATGTCATTTGAAAATAACGGGTGCTATCAGAATCTGGCTTTCCATCCCCACTGATATATATAAAAGGATCTTTTTCTTATTAGTTAAAGAAACAAAAATCCATTTAAAAGCTGAAAGTAATGTGAAGCATGAGATCACTACTGAATGGCCATGCTAAAAAATGTAGGCTAATTCAGAGTCAGCAGAAAAGTGAACTCCAAATAACATAATATCTGCTGCTTTGGAGTAGAAGGCATTACTGGGAAAATTACGCCTTCTTCCATCTCTCATCAGAAAGGCTCACACTGGTTTTACTAATCTAACCAAAACTGTCACTACCCAGATGCAGCACAGCTCTCCGGGTGCGGGCTGGACTCTGTTCAACCTCATTTGTCCTCACCAGAGGCTGAGTTTCTGCTGTTCTAATTTATAGTGTTTGGGTTGTATTATAGTGAAAAGAAGGGAAGACAGTCAGGATGTTTTCCCCTAGCACCTAGAAAGGCTTGGTGTGAAAGGAAACATCTTCCAGCACCAACAGGGCTGAGTGTTAGGTAACCCAGCTAGCTAAAACCCACCCACAAGGCTGGATATCTCATTATTTTTCCCCTCTATGATTAGTCTTTTGAAGACTAAAATTACGTTTTTCAGAGGAGTTGAGAAGATACAACTATACCCCACAGCACCCAAGTGCCCTGTGAAAGAGACTCAAATGGGAATAGACCAAAATCGTTTTCTCACCATGGTGACACATTTCCTAGCCTCTAGGAGCAAAGTTTTGTGATCCAGGCCAATGCGGAGTCTCTCAGCCTGGACTTCAATTTTACTTTTCATGTGCATACAGGTTACCACTGCTATGGATTTCTTGCAGATGATCCTGACACAGAGTATGAGTTCTGCTAACAGTGTGAGAACTCAGCTGGTAGAGTAAACATTAACTTATGCTCTTAAAATTTAAATTAGAAGCCCCCCAAATTAATTAGACATAGGGGTTGCATTGCTTTTCAGGGGCAGTTAATTCTTTTCTTACTTCTCTTTTGCCATTTTTCATGATGAGCATTTTCTAAACTTCCTACATAAAAAAAGATTTCACATTGATTACATATCCCCCAAAATATGTTGTTTTAAGAGAAGCCAAATTACCTGATCTTACAGAAACTATACCGTTTCAAAAGTTTATGCATGATCACATGGAGAAGGATGGCCTTCTGGACTTTCTTCTTAGAAACCAACCTGATCCTGGTCACCTATGGATGCAGGTCTAAACTCAGAAAATCCTGGGAGTCTTTTCCTTTTGTGTATTTCTTCCTAGGATAAATTGCCTAGTTGAGAGTAATTTCTAGTTCAGTGAACCCTAATGTTTCTGAATAGGTAGTAGTATTTATGGATCCTGTCTATAGTAATTTAGTCTCTTAAATCAACTATGGCAAGGGATATTGCATTACTTTCTGTGTTGGAAAATCTTTTTATATATCTCCCAGACTATAAGCAAAGTTGTTAGCTGTACTACATAGGACTGTGGCTCATTACTAAAGCACTCATCATACTCACATGCAGCATAGGACACCACAAGTTTTCCATTCAGAGTGTGTTATCCCAAGAGTCATTTGAAAAGAATCACTCTCCAGTAAACCTATCCTCATTTTATTTCTTTCTGCATGATTCCAAAAAAAGCATTTCTTGACTGTGTTACAGCCAGTATACTCCTGTTAAAAGAGAAATGGAATTAATTGGTCATGGCAAAATATGGTGGCCAACTTAGAATGGGTGGCTGTACTTCAGGGCCTCCCAGGGATTGATACCGGCTTGGACTTCATTTTCTGTTTCAAATTCACTTGCCTGATTCTGTGGGGCTGTCAAAAGATTAGTGTTCTTCTTTTTAAATAGTGTCTTTCTTCCAAAAACTGCATTCCCAACAGATACACTCTCTACAGAGGAGGAACTTCACCCACTACTAAAATGTCACAATTCCTTTAGGGTGAGCTAGAATTGTTCAAAGGGCACAGTAGCAGCAGTAGGCAGGAGCATGAATGCAGGATGGGAGGCAGAATGACAGAGAAGGCAGCACAGGACCTGCTCAGGGAAGGGATGCATGCGGAGCATCAGCGTCTGTACCTGGGACAGTCACTACAGATGATGTCATATCATTTCTTTAGTTTCCTTCTACCTCATCTTTCTGATTTGAAACTCTTAGGACTATCACTTTCTTACTTAGAACTGGATCCTAAATTAAGTTAGGAATTAAGAAAAATACTTTGTACCTCCTCATGCCAGATAATTCCCAATCATCTTCAGTTGAATCACCTTTATGGTAATAAGATTGTATAAGGACCTACTCTATTACTTGTTTTTTGGAATAGAAGAATAAATTTATAAACTCACTGGGGAAAAAGTTTCATAAAGCTACCAGAAAAGTATATAGAACAATTGAGAATTAAATGCAGACTCCAACTTAGGATGGTTCAACTTAACGATTTTCCAGCTCTATGATGGGGCAAAGGCAGTATATGTTAAATAGCAACTGCACTTCAGATTTTGAATTTTGATCTTTTCCTGGGCTAGTAATGTGCAGTAGGATACTCTCATGATGCTGGGCCTGGTTGTGAGTAAGCCCCAGCTCCCAGACAGCCACAAGATCATTAGGATAAACAACCAGTACTCTATAGTGCACTGAATCTCCAGATGATTTTGCCTAACTGCGAACGTTAAGTGTCCTGAGCATGTTGAAGGTAGGCTAGGCTAAACTATCGTGTTTGGTAAGTTAGGTGAATTCAGTACATCTTTGACTTAATGATATTTTCAATTTACAGTGGGTTTATTGGGATATAACTTTATCATAAGTCATGGAACGTCTGTACTAGCTGCTAGAGTAAGAAAACCAGAGGAATATAAGATTGCAAAGAATAGGCAAGATCCTCGTAGGTTCGGTTTAGTCTGGGAAGGTTTTATCTCAGATGTAGATTTCAATACTTGACAATAAGTATGGGATTTGTGTTGAAGAGGAGGAGGGGGTATTCTACACACCAGGAAGAGCAGGATCAAAGGCATGGACAGTGGTGAAGAGCCTACCAGAGGACCCCAAGAGGTGTAAGAGGTGTTGACGGTGCTGTATATTCCAGGCAGAGGGATCAGGTCCTCCTCTGGCCACCCCACCCCCTTGCCCCCAGTTATCCTTAAGATATTTCAGAAGTTTTGTTCATTTTGGCATCTCTGTTAAAGGCCCAGTGGAAACCTCACATTTTGTTTTTTCATTTAAAAATACTGGCTTCTGTAAGAAGATCTGTTAATAGCACACAACAGACTCCTAGAATATGACTGTAAAAGAATTTAGAAGGTTTTCTAATCTGAGGGCTAATATATCCTAAATTTAGTGGCCTACAGAAAGATACTTTAATGTATGTCTTCCGCAAAACTATTCCGGTGTTTTCTTGATTCATTGTCAGTTATATTTGTATCTGAAACTCTTCTTTCCTCAATGGCACCAAAATGATCCTTTTCAAAAATACCTAAAATACTTCATATACTAGATCAAAGGTCAGACTCCATCTGACCAAGTTAAACTGTCTGAGCCTCAATTTATATTTAAAGGGAAGTATAATAATAGCATATACCTCAGATGGTTATTGTGAGAATTCATGTCTCCAGGGCACTTAGCATGCTGTCAGGGTGACTAGACCACAGGTGCCCTTCAGCCATCTTTAATATTGTCATACAACAAGTGGGAGTAAGGAAGCTATAATATCGAATACATTTTTCAGAAGCTCAAAAAGGCAATCAGTATGAAGTTTTTTTGGATTAAAGTTAGATGGTCAAAAATTACCATCTTGAACAGATGTGAATTTCATGCAAATGAGATGAAATCCTTGTCATCTTCTAACTCAGCTTGTTAGTTGTTCCAATTGTAATTCTCTAGAAAACATACAGACGTGGACAGCTTTTTCTAGAAGACAGTTGTCCTTGTAGACACTTACTTGATTCTTCCTGCAG